GGGGGGGGGGGAGACAAGCTGATGAGAGCAACAGTGATGGCTTTAATGCTACAATATGAGGCATTAAAGACCAACACTTCTCACATGAGCTGAATCTCCAGACCAACAGTTTTCCTTTCATAAAAATATTCAGTTTTAAACAAATTTTGTTTATTCTATTAATTTACCATTTAAACCTGGGTTCACAGGCTCTGTCTCCATAATAATGAGGGGGGGGGAGCAAGCAAAAGAGCACACACTAAACAGAACTGATATACTATATGTACTGGGGATGCCTCTGTTCTTTAGAATCATAGTATATTATGCACAAAAGTAAAATGCCTATGACAAACAACCTGGGCTAAAAAACGATTTGATCTGAAATGGACTTTTCAATACACAAAAAAAAATTTAAAATATGCTGGCATGTTTATGCCCTATTATGATTTGTTACAATTGATACAGCCATCAAACATAAAAGAAATATACAGAATGTCCAGGTGTTTGGTGCCATACTTCAGGAGCATACTGAGGGTTTCCTATTGGATAACTCTGAAATAGGAACCCACTCCGCAAACGTAAAATAGGAGCACTAGGGCGGCATTTAATATAATTTTGTTTAAACTTTTTTTTTAACTTTCTTAGTGGTGGGTGGAGTCCAACTGGGTCCACTCAGCACGGCAGCCACTGATTAGCCTATTGTAGCCTGCCCCAGGTGATTATGATGATGGAGAATTTGGTGGAATGAAGATTGACAGGGGAACTGAAGTACTCGGGGAAAACCCACCCCAGCACCACTCTGTCCACCACAAATCCCACTTGACCAGACTCGGGATTGAACCTGGGCCACCACGGTGGGAAGCCAGCGACTAACCGCTTGAGCTATGGCGCAGCCTTAGTTTAAACTTGGCGCCTAAATGTCGAAGAGCATGCACAGGCTTATTACTCCCTCCAAACTCTTAAGATTCACCTGCTAGAGTAGATGTTGGAATTGGCACCCTCCATTTTCAATGCATGCGTTACGCTGACGAAAGAAACTTTGGCACACCCTTTCAAATATTCCAGGTGTCTCATGGATCACGTCACATGCAACAAGTATTCTGGTCAACAGCTCGAATTCATTATCCACACGCATGTTGTAGAACAGGTTTTTCACATGACCCCAGATGAAATAGTCCAGAGGTGTCAAGTCTGGGGATCGGGGTGGCCAAGGTACTGGGCCTCCTCTTCCTATCCAACGACCATGAAAAGCAGCATCCAGGTAGTCTCACGATATAATGCTGAAGTGTGCCGGCACTCCATCAAGCTGTATCCACATTTGCCTCCACACAATCAGTGGCACATCTTCTAGCAAAGTCAGAAGGTTACGTTCCATGAACACTTTGTAAAAGTGCCCATTGAGTCACGGTGGTAAGAGGAAAGGCCCAATCAAGTGATTGCCAATGATGCCTGGCCAGACATTGACAGAAAATTGCGCCTGATGATAACCAACAACAGTATCATGGGGGTTTTTGTCAGCCCAAACGTGGCTATTTCAACAGTTGAACCAGCCATCCCTTTTAAACTGCGCTTCGTCTGTGAATAACACGTGATTCAGGAAGTTGGACTGATGTAAACACTGGTTCAGTATCCACTGACAAAATTGAACTCATGGTACGAAGTCAGTGTGTACTCGTGTGGGATGATATGGATAAAGTTGTTGGTCCTGCAGGATCCTCCAAACACTTGATTTTGATGTCCCCACAATCTTGGCAATGGCACGAGTGCTGGTAGACGGCTGTTCCTCTATGCAATGCAGTACTGCCTCTTCTGCATCAATGGTTCGAGCATATCTTGAGCATCCTGAATGATTTTGTGGACGCAGAGACCCAATTTCACCTAGTTGCTGGTGAATGCTCACAAACATTTTGCTAGAGAGATGTCTTCTATTGGGAAATCTTTCCCTGTATAGTCTCTCCACTTTTCGTGCATTTCCTTCAAGCACACCATAGAGATAATGCATGCCTCTGAGCTCTGCAAACGTGTAGTCTTCCGCCATTGCAGAAGTGAGTGAATGTAAACAAAGAACTGTCTAGCAGACACACGTTCCTTCATTTACCAAAACAATACTAGTTAGCTTGGGAAAACAATCAGCTGGAGTGAGCACAGTTTGGAGGGGGTAATATGCCTGTGTATGCTGTTTGACAATGCCACGTCAACTTTAAATGAAATTATTTTAAATGCTGTCCTAGTGCAGCTATTTTACGTTTGCAGCCATGGGTTCCTACTTCAAAGTTATTCTATAGGGAACCCTCAGTATGCTCCTGAAGTATGGTACCAAACTCCTAGAACACTCTGTATATTGTGAACCATGTGGTTATTTCTATTCTTCTATCTTAAAAGAAAAATACCATTGTTGTTACTGATAATAGAATTAAATATTCAGCAGTGACATCACCATCAAATTTATTTCAAAACTTACAAACTGATTGTTGAATTACTGGAGAAGAGGAAAGGGTAGAACTGCATTATGTGCGCATGCTCCTACATATACACATATGTAAAAATATGAACAATAATGTGAAACATAAATTATATTCCAGTACATATAAATACAGAGAAGTCAACATACCATCAACGCTGGTAAATGGACCATGTGTTATGACAAATGTGTCAAATTCAATCAGAGTCAGAACTTTGAGGTACATCTTCGGAATCTCAGTTTCAATACTGTCATCATGGGGATCATCCTCTATTGAAGAGTGTTTCACTACAGCCAAGTAAAATGAGCAGTCAATTTCACACTGAGTTGACTCCTTTTCCTTGAACTCAACAATCTAAGAGAACATCAGAACAGTATATGAGAATGTGAAATACTATAATTTTAAATCAAATAAACTGTAGTATAACCTCATTATATTTCAGTATCCTGCTGCACTGGGGCACCATTTTTAAATCATAAAGTATTCTGTCTGTAACACAACAAAGTCAATCCTTTCTTAAAACACACTAAAGTATATTTAATTCACCAAAAAGTAATGTTATATTTTAGCATCCTGTTGCACTGATTTATATCCATCATTTATGCTGTCTTACAGTGCAGTCTTACAGTTTTAATATTTAAAATATATTATTATACATGACGAAGATATATTTTAGTCATTTTAGTATGAAGACATCAGGGCATGCAATGCAGTAGTTAGACATGCACAGAGAAACACCTGAAGATGGCACATTAGTGCTGAAACATGTAGTGCAAAAGAGAAGAGTAAGGTGAAAAAGTGTGTGCACTGTAAGACGGTGAGCATAAATCATGGTCACTAAAAAGTGTTTGTTAAATATTTTAAAATGTCATTAACTATGTACATTCGTTGTCTCTGCTATGTTTTTGCCGTGTATTGGCCTTGACAAGGAACAAACAGCACTAGACACACAATTAAAGTGGATGACACACTAAAAAGGCCAATAAAAAAGATAGGATTAATATATCCTAGGAAGTAAATTAACAAACAACAACAACAATGTGCCAAGGGTACTAAGGAAAAAGTGTACAGTGCAGTGGTCTCCCCAAGTAACATGTTGCCTGATGATCGCCCATGTGCGGCCGATACATGTAGCAAAGACAACGGATGTACACAGTTAGTGACATTTTAAAATATTTAACAAACACTTTTTAGTGAATTAAATACATTGTCATGTGTACAATGGTATGTGTGACGAAATGACAGGTTCCATTTCAGATGATTGGATTTATCATCACTTTGGTTACACACTCTTAATTACACTTAAACACAGCACTTTAGAGTTCACCATTGCACATGAAATAGGATTCTGTCTTCCACTAGTCATTTCCTAGCAATGGCTCTCCACACAGAAACTGTCATTTCTGATCACTACAGATATTACATATGAAATCTTCCAATCACACTTTATATCCTCACAGGCAGACCTCCTGTATTCTTCTGTAGTCCTGGTTCCACTCTGCTTGCTTCCGCCACTAGTTCCACGACTAGTTTCATCTGGTCTGGCCCTTAACATGTAGCTTAGAAATGGACAGCATGGAAATGTCGCGATCAAAAATACTGTTGCATCATCCAAGCATTAATGATGTCATTGCGGTGCATCATGTGGGAATCACGTCAACACGTCACGTGACATCCCCTCCACTGGGGCAGAATGACATCACTGTGCATGCACAGAAGTCTGTTTACCAAGCCGGCCTTAGAATCGGGTTGCATAACCTCGTTCCACTGTTGCATAACTTAGCAACCGACTGTTCATCAAGAGTTTGTCTTCGTGATAGCTCGTTCAACATCTTTATGCCCAACAGCGGGTTGACACGTCACAGTATTTCAGTGTCTTCAAAGAAAGGGCTTTGTTGAATTACAGACAGAATATCATTTAAAATATACAACACCCTGTTTAACCTTCCTGGTGCCAAGTCACAAGGAGCAATTTGGTTTCAGTAGTAATCAACATTCCTCTATTAAATGTTATGTAGTTAATTCTACATAAAAATCAAAACAGAATTGCAGAAACCCTGCAGTCAGTAATAAAAGCATTCTTATTACAACACACTGCACACATCCTTCCATCTTTATAAAGACATGTTGTGGTGCCAAAGTAAAAACTTTTTGCACAAATAACAACAGATATGCACTATGAAATGCGGCAGAAAGTAAAGAGAGTACAAGGAACTAACATGATAAGAGTTCAAGCTACTCTTTATTCCATTTATGCCATTGCTGCATCTGGTCTGGCATTCACAGAGGCTTCAAAATCTCAGCACCCTTGTGGTACCTAGTCACTTCCCAGGATATTTAAATAGATTTTCAGTGTTTTTGGCTTGAAATGTGGAAATCTCTCAACAGAAAATGTAATGTTACACAAGAAACAAAACACATTCAAAGGATTATGTACATAAAAAAGCAGATTACTGAAGACATTTTTCTGCATAAAATATACAGGCTTTGCATTTATAAACACTGTGTATGTGCTACAAGACAGAAATCTAAGCCTGAAGTTCAATAATACTAATAATATATTTGGCAGGTCACACTTTCATTCAGGCGCACACAGCAGCATACTTGGTTGAGGCACTATGTTACAAGCTGGAAGGTCACAGATTCAAGTATTGATGAGGTCATTGGATTTTTCTGTTGACCTAATCCTTCCAGCCGCACTATGGCCCTGGAGTCAACTCAGCCTCTAACAGAAGTGAGTACCAAGAATCTTCCTGGGGGTAAAGAGCACCTGGCACACGACGCTGACATCACCGCCATCTGTGAGCCAAATGTCTAGAAAATGTGGGAACCTCGACATCTCACAAACCTAAGGGTCTATGATATATCACTCTGTAAGGCCAATACACAAATATGGAGACCAAAATGAAATATCTTACCAAAATAACATTGGGGTGTTTATGAAGTCTTACAAACATACGATGACGACCAATCTTAGACATTGGATGATCTGGGTGATGTAACAAAGGTAACCTCTCATGGGGTGTAGCTGGAAGATGCTGAAGAGTTTTCTCACATCGACGCTGCGTTATCCAATACCTGAAAACATTTTACATATCAAAAGTCAACACAATTAGAGACCAGACAGAGCCAGCTGAACACAACAGTTTTTCTTTATATATGACTGTCTCTTGTAGTGAGAGTGTGAAAGTGTGAAAGCAGTAGTGGAGATGCTTCTACAGAGTATTATAATGTAAAGGTGGAGTTATAAATCCAAAACTATGACATTAGGCAAGATCTGAAAGTAGACCATAAATAAGAAAACCTTGTGAAATTTACCAAAAAATGGTATACATGTCTTACACATGGACAGCAATAAGATTCCTCTGAGCAACAGAAACAAAGATGTCATATGGTTCTGTTACACTTATAAATACAAGTATACATACTATGTACGATGTTTGAAAAATATCCAGACTGATGCTTTGGTACAGACAACTGGAATGCTGGTATCCTGGGACAAGCTGGAACATGTGACTGCATTATTCAGCAGTTTTGTATTACTCAGGAGAATTCAGTTTCATTTGTGGCTGCAGCTGAATGTCTTACTGTAGCAGTATTTCTGCCTCTTTATTTGCCCCATCATTATGCAGATGTCCAAATAATTTAAACTCCATCTCACATTCCAAAGACAGATCTACTTCGATATCCAGCTCAAATTCAAACATTTCAAACTATCAGTAATATGTAAGATTTGAGGCTTTCACGGCAGTGACTATGAAGAAAGCAGTTTTCTGGGATTTGGCACCGTGTATATGTGGTGTTAACCAACGTTTTGGAGGAACGTCTGCTTTTACTGGTTCTCACGGTCTCTTCGCTTGCAGATTTCTTATATTTTTTTTTCTTCTACCCTGAAGATGGAGGCGATACGTTCCTCCTAAACGTCGGTTAACACCACATATACACGGTGCCAAATCCCAGAAAACGGCTTTCTTCATTATCAGTAATATCTTTAACTTCTTGAATTCTAGGTCGTTTACATTTCATGCTTATAGGAGTTGTCACAATATGTAATCCCTAAGCAACACAGCAGACTCATGAAGATACAATATCTCACACTTAGGGTGTTCAAAAAAAGTATGTAAAAACTGCTGGATTTAAAGCAAACTAAAAGAAATGTGCTTTATGGTGGAATATAAGCTTCAAACCTACTAATAACTGACACACACCAAAGTACTAAAGCATCATTAGGCCTAAAAGTGTCAAAAGCTGTATTCAGCATCCTGAACCATGGCAGGTTTCCCAAATTCAACTACACTTCTAGAGACCCACTTTATAAACTCCTATTGAAACCGTACCGAAGTTCAGAAACCAGCGTAGGAAGGCGAGAATGATCTCCATTTAGAGCCGTTTGCAATTCTGGTATGAGAGGAGCATCATACTGTGGCACATGGCACTGTAACATCCCAGTGTGTGTATCCACAGTAATAAGAAGCTGCTCAGCTCTCAGGCATGGTTGAAGCACTGGAACTGACAGGATGGCAGGAGAACCTTGTAGATGGCCTGCAAAAGCAAGACTTAAGTCGCAACAGTTCTAAAACAAAACTAACCCACATCATTAGTTGTTCTCTCATAAACCAAAGGCTGGGAGTCACCTCAGGGGGAAGGTAAAAGCTATTTGGGTGCGGCACCAACACTCTTCCAAGTAACTTAACAATCCATATCCAAAGCAGTGAAGGGTTACATTGGAATAAATATATTCCCTACAAGCCAACAGATCTTCCATAACACTAAAGTTATTTTGTGTCTTTTTTCCTTACATTACATTGCATTGCAATGGATCCAAAGTTAGTAAAAATGACTGTAGGATGTGGAATATGTCATATAAATACAAAACACATGTACAGTCCCAATGGAGTTCTCACACAAGAGAAACCAAGAATTTAATTTCTTCAGGAATGGAATATTTATTATCACCACTCCTAAATACTGCTGTATTTTTTAAGGATTTACTGGCTACTGTTATAGTATGACTGTGTCCTACATTCTGATATCAAAACAAAAACATACATGTAGTTACTATAGGATTCTGACGATGATGTATAACACACTGATATATTGGGTTTCTGGACTTTATCCATTGTCCTAGTTTTTAAGATAACAAAAACACGACGTTTCGGAAACTGGATCTGTTTCTGTCCTCAGGTGAAGGAAAAGGGGAACACCTATTCTGTTGGGTCCATTAGAAAGAGCTAGCCTCAATCACTGCTCCAGTGATTGAGGCCAACAGAATAGGTGTTCCCCTTTTCCTTCACCTGAGGACGGAAACAGATCCAGTTTCCGAAACGTCGTGTTTTTGTTATCTTAAAAACCAGGATGATGGATAAAGTCCAGAAACCCAATATATCAAAAACATACATGTTAATTCCATATCAAATTAACTCAGAACACTAAATAATTCGACTAGATCCCCTCAGATTTTAGTGAAATTTGTAAGACAGAACCCTTCAGAGAGGTAAGTTACAATCCCAATTTTTAGATGAGTATGAATAACAGTTTTTGACTCATTGTATGTAGCTCACACAAGCAATATTAAAAATATACAAGAGAATTGCACTTACATTCCACATCTTTCAGCATAGTTTGTAGTTCTTGCTTCAGTTCTGTGAGACGACTCCGTGTTCGAACATATATTGTATGCACCAAAAGACGCTCCATGGATAACAAATCAGATCTTATTGCTCTATCAGCAATTTCACATTCCTGTTAGATACAAAATAAAGTTTACAGACTTGAGGCGCTCACAGCAGTGAATATGGAGATTACTGTTTCCTGTGGAGTGATTTCATGTAGTCAGGTAGACAGTTACGAGGGGGGACCCAAAAATAACCGGAAACGACCTGTTGCGCACGCAGGCTTTGTAGTTACGAGTTGTGCTGCTAGGTGGTGTTAGCTGGGGGTCTCCCGCGACTGTTAGTGAGCTGGCGTCAGTCTGAGTTAAGTGGTTTGTCTGTGGTGCTCTGTTGTGTGCGTTCCTGTTTCAACCCTTTGGCGATTAGTGAGATGGCCGACCAGAAGGAACAAAGAGTGTGCGTGAAATTGATGAAGATCGTCGAAAGACCATTGACCAACTTTCTGAGGAAACGAACATCTCATGGAGCACGGTCCAGTGAATTTTAACCAAAGGTTTGCACATGAGACGGGTGTCTGCAAAATTTGTTCTTCCCTTGCTCGGAGATGACCAAAGAGAAAACCGCGTGAATGTTTGCCGCGACTTGAAGAGTGAAGTGCAGTTTTCCCTAACAGAAAGCAAAATTTCACGCACACTCTTTGTTCCTTCTGGTCGGCCATCTCACTAATCGCCAAAGGGTTGAAACAGGAACGCACACAACAGAGCACCACAGACAAACCACTTAACTCAGACTGATGCCAGCTCACTAACAGTCGCGGGAGACCCCCAGCTAACACCACCTAGCAGCACAACTTGTAACTACAAAGCATGCGTGCGCAACAGGTCGTTTCCGGTTATTTTTGGGTCCCCCTTCGTATATGTACTTTGAAGCAATTTGCTGCTTCCATCCTTATGGTGAAAGTTCTTCTACCTTGATGATGAAGGCATCAAATTCTTCCAAAACACTTCCAGATTACATGGTGTCACATCCCAGAAGACTGTAATCTTAACACAGTTTGCTCATTACAAAATTCTAACAATAAAATGAAGTAAACTGATGGTTGATGACATGAAGGAGAGGTTTTACAAAGACTAGAATGTGTATTCAATAAATTCCCTAAATACCATATGAAAATTTTGTTAGATTTCACTGTTAAAGTAGGTAAGGAAGTCATTTTCAAACCTAAACCTGGAGATGAGAGCTTGCACGAAATTAGTAATGATAATGAAGTTAGAGTAGTAAACTTTGTCACATCCAAAAATCTCACTATCAAAAGTACAATGTTTCCACGTCGTAACATCTATAAATTTACTTGGACATATCCTGAGGGAAAGACTCACAATCAAATTGGCTATATTTTGCTAGATATGAGATGGCATTCAAGCATACTTAATGTCCAGTCATTCACGGAAGCAGACTGTGATACTGACCACTATCTCTGGTGGTGGCAAAAGTTAGGTAGAGACTGACAGTGAGTAAACAATGCACAGAGTTTATATGGGCAGATTCAATTTCAAGAAATTAAATGAGATAGAGGATAAAGAGCAATATCGTGTTCAAATCTCATATAGATTCCCAGCTGTGGAAACCTTAGACACTGAAATGGATATTAATTGAGCTTGGGAAACTACAGGGCGCATCAATGAATCGGGCGAAGTGGGGAGCATGCCACTACTGCCATCCAGCAGCCTACTTCAAAGCGTTTTAGTTGAAACAGAGCTGTGGACTAGAGCACAACATGATTTTGCTGTGAAAGCATTTTACAAAAACGGTGACAGTTTCATGAATTTCAATGAGTTTGGTATTCATCGCAATTGTGCCGTTCCCTCTGCCCATCCCATCAAGACCTGGATTCAAAACTTTGAGGCTACTGGTTCTACACTAAAGAAGAAAGGTGGTAGCATAAAAACAGGATGCACACCCAAGAATGTAGCGGCAGTGAAAGAAGACATTGAACGAAGTCCACACCGGTCTGGGCGTTGCCATGCTACATCACTCGGGCTGTCTGAAGCCAGCATTCAATGGATTTTGCACAAAGATCTCCACTTCTACCCCTATAAAATTCAAATTACACATGCACTACATGAACANAATGGCCGGCTGAATATATTACCGCAGGAGCCGCGGCCGCAGAATTCAAATGACCACGTCAAAGGGTTAATTAATCAAAACCAAGATGTCGTTAACAACTTACTGATGAGCGATAAAGCTCATTTCCATTAATGAGCAAAATTTCCCCTACTGGTCGGCCACAAACCCCAAAGAAATTTATGAGAGACCACTTCACCGTTCCAAAGTCACAGTATGGTGGGAAATATCTTCCGTTTCGAATTAGTGGCCCGCACTTCTTTGAAGATGGGTGAGAAAGGGTTTAAGTGTGACTGGACCACAATACGTTCACATGTTGGAGAGCTTCTTAGCTCCTACACTTGCTCGACTTCCAGTCAAGGAAGAAACGTTTTCCAGCAAGATGGGGTTACATGCAACACAGCACGAGCTTCCATGGCAGCTGTGAATAACCTGTTTCCTAACCATGTTATCTCCAGATATAGGGACACCATATGGCCAGCCAGGTCACCTGATCTTTTCAAATGTGATTTTTTCTCTGGAGGTATCTGAAATCCTAAGCTTTCAAAGCTCCAGCGCCCCACACAGTTCAGGAGTTGAAATATCAAATTTGGGAAGAAGTTGAATGAATTCCCATAGAGATGCTGCAAAGAGTAATGAGCGACTTTAGGAAGAGACTTACCAAGTGCCTAAAGCAGAATGGTGGTCATGTGTTGGATGTTATTTTTGGGAAAGAGACTTCTGTTTCCAGTGAGTTAATTGGGAAAAACCAAATTCTTTTATGTTTGAACTCGGATCTTAGAGATAGGATGGTGTGGTATGGACTGGGTCAATCTGTCTCAGGATAGGGACCAGTGTAGGGCTCTTGTGAACACGGTAGTGAACCTTCAGGTTCTATAAAATGATGGGACGTTCCTGAGTAGCTGCACGATTGGTGGCTCCTCCAGAAGGCTTCATGAAGTCAGTTAGTTATGAGAAAGAGAAAAGGAAAAGAACTGTTAATTAAGATTAATGATGTGAGCAGTAAAGTGAAATGCAACAGAATGAAAAGAGATCTCTTTTTGGGAAGTAACAACTTCACTCTTGTATTGCTATTCTATTACTCTTATAATATCTAATACCTGGTATCTACAGTATCTCAATGAAAAATTCAGAACAGCTGGGTCCAGTGCTGAATTCTCCATGTCACACAGTATAAAGAAAAAATACAGTTTTATAGGATTTGAGATTCTCACAGCAGCGGCTATGAAGAGTTCTTCTGGAATATAAAGCCATGCAGTCTGCAGAAAATCAAAGTTTTGGAGTAACATGCCGATTCCATCTTCAAGGTCAAAGAATAAGACACGTATGAAACCAGCATAAAGCAGAGTTTGCTACCTGCTTCATACTGGTTTCCTGCTTGGACCATTCTTTGACCCAGAAGATGGAGGCAACATACATGTTTCTCCAAAATGTAGGCTGATTTTCAATGGACTACCCAGCGTTATATCTCAGAGGTCAGAACTCTTCAAAACACAATGATCTCATATAACATATGGATTCTGCCACACTTCTTTTCCTTCTTTAGGTCCCAATTATACTGCAACCCTGATTTTGTGGTTTCCTCCTAACAACAATTTGAACTACACAACTTATGTACAATATATATACGAGTATACTGAAGTGTGTCTACTTGTAACAGTTACTAAAAAGGCTTCAAAGCAAGGGCCAAAACACTAATAAAACTTAAATAAAAATAAACATTAGGAGGAAACAAAATTTACTTTGTTATATTGAAGAATTACTAATCAGTAAGTAAAAATTAAATCATACATAACTGTTAAATTATGTGGATATTTAAATATGCTTTGGAATTTGATGGTTATCTCAACAATAACAAAAAAAATATTCATAACTTTAAGATATTCCTATTAAGGTCCATAATTTTTAAGTGAATATTTTTCTGTTCGCTCAAACCTGACTGAAATAATGTATATATGTACTTAAGCCCTGACATAATGTACTCAACTATGGACTAAAACTACATTTGACCACTTCACCAACACAAACTATAATTAAATTTTTCTATCCAAAACGTGATCATTGCATGCATACAGACAATGGGTGAGCACAAATTTAGTGACACTCAGTAGTGCAGAAGATGCCTACAATTACATACACTGTACCTTACTGCCAAGTGACGGGACATGGATAACAGTAAGAGGCCGTGCTGGCTCATGAGTATCCACTTGTACTGTCAGTCGATATCCCAGTTCTGACCTTGGATCTTTGCAGGTTAATTCTCTAAAACAGGAATTATGGGAAATTATGGGTACAGACAAGTATAACTGTAAAATTATGCCTGTACTTATTTAAGCATTACATCAAAAAGACAGAAGCAGTGGAGGTGTAAATCTGAACATTCTTAACCTTGGCTTTACCACACAAGAAAAGGTCACCAATAACCATTGGACAGGAGGCTGTGTGAGCTTCTTTGTCACTGTGGATGCAGAAGAAGAAAAACCTCACTCCCTGCCAGGAATCAAATACTAATTGTTCAGTCCATAACCTAGTAACTATACTAATTGGTCTATCCTGGTAATATTATGCACTATTAAACAAACAAATAACACTATATTACAACACATGGCTGGAAATATAATCATTCATACATTTCTGTTGCTGGAAGAGTCGAAAATATTAACTATTTCTGAATGTGAATGACTTGTACTGTTTTGCATGGGTCACAAATCTGTTAACATAATAACATGTCATACTACTATTGTTATAGGCATAAAACTATCTATCACATGTCTGGAACAATACCTATATGAAAAGATGAAAAATTCAGCCTGAAATCAAAGATTGCTAAAATAACTTCAATTAAAGAGTATAAAGTCAGCAAATCAGCAGTTTCAATTTCTTATAACATGAAGAAATTAAGAGAGATGACTAATTACATTAAAAGGTAGGAAGAAAGACCTGCCATGCAAAGTATATATAGATATTTATTAAACTGAAACACAGAAACCACATGCAAGTAACAAAGGGAAGCAGACTAGACTCCCTGTAGTATTAAAAGAGAGGCAAAGCTTAACCTTACTTTTCACATAATACAGTATCAATCATGTAACAACAAAACTATTAAATAATTATCACCTCCAATATGAGATAGAGAGACATTTCCCTGGTGTATACTCATCCACATGAATGTGATCATCCAAACGATCTCTACACAGACGAAGTGTTTGTGAATACAGCACCTGTACAAAAACCATTCAGTGTTATCAATAATAAACTGGAAGCATGTTTACATGATCTAAACCAAACATGACAATGAAGCAAAATATAAGCAAAGTTTCATTGGTTTATGGCTTAAGGGACATTTAAAAAAAACAAGCAAACAAATGACTAACAGACCTCCCTACTTAAAGTTTTCAGAAACAATTCTCATATTATATGTCATAATTTGAACAGCAGAATTTAAGATATATCTGCAGATTTTGCTGACTGAACAAATACTTGATGATAAAAGTACAATTTCCCTCAATGGCTTATCTCCAGTCTTTGTACAAATATTCTTGAGCTCCAGAATGCTATAACAGTGTTTCCTTCAAAGCAGACTGAATGAAACTGAGCTAATAAGAATGACAAAAGACTGCTTAACCTTTAACAAGCAGGAATAGAATATTATGCAGTCATATTGAAATTTGGTGATAACAATTTATTGTAGAGGAAAAGGGAATTTTAAACCTCCCAGCTCTGCAGTGCTGGAGGACATATATGTGGTGCAATCCAAAGTTCCCGAAACGTATTAATAAAAACTATTAGGTCTTACCTGGATCTTATTCTGCACCATCACCTTCAAAGTAGTCCCCTTGGGAGCGCATACACCAATCCCAGCGTTTCTGCCACTTTTGAAATGCATCCTGGAAGTCTTTCTTTGTTAGGGTGTTTAGTACCGTCTGCATTTCTCCTTGAATTTCCTCAACTGTATCAAATCTTCGCCCCTTCAACTTGATTTTCATCGTGGGGAAGAGAAAGAAGTTGCATGGAGCTAAGTCTGGTGAGTACGGTGGGTAGGAAAAAACTGCCATCTTGTTTTTAGCCAAAAATTCCAGCACAATGTAAGCCATATGCGGTCATGCATTCTCATGGTGGAGTACCCAATCGTTCATGCGCCACTTCTCTGGACATTTTCTCCTCCTGTCCTCCATCAAACACCTTAGAACATCACGACAGAACTCTTTATTGACTGTCTGACCAGGAGCAATGAATCCTTTTGAACAATCCCGTCAATATCAAAAAAACAGATCAACATGGACTTAATGTTGCTTTTGACTTGTCGAGCTTTTTTTGGCAAAGGTGAAGAAGGGCCTTTCCATTGCGACAATTGCTGCTTACTTTCAGGGTCGTAGCCATAAACCAAATTTCGTCACCAATGACAACCTTCGAAAGAAAGTCTGGAACTTCTTGAAGCTGTTGCTGAAGTTCCCTGAAGACTTTCAAGGGATGCTGCTTCTGTTCATTTTGCAGCAGTTGTGGTACAAACTTCACCACAATCCTCCTCATGTTCAGTTCCCCTAAACATAACTTAGTCCCAAGGTGTTACAGAGGTCTTGAATGGTCAGTCTACGACCTTGCAGAATCAGATCCCTAACTTTCACGACATTTTCTGATGTGGTGCCAGCTGACGGCCAACCCGAACAATCCCCATCATCAGTCGATGTTCAGCCATTTTTGAAACGCTTATACCAGTCACAAGTTTGTGTCTGGCCTAAACTGTTGTCACCAAAAGCTTGCTTCACCATTTGGTGCGTTTCTGCAGCAGTTTTCCCCATGTTTAAAACAAAACTTTATACAGACACGCTGCTCTCTCAGGTCAGCCATCGCAAAACCGCAAACTCACGGAAACACAACAATGGAAATAAGTTCACCAACAATAAACCCAACCACTCAACTCGATGCCGCTTGCCACACTGATTCAAGAAGGGTGTGTGGGGAGACACCTAGTGGTATTTTGACGTACTCATAACCATTCATGCGCAAAATTCAAATTTTGGGAACTTTTGAATTGCACCATGTATTAACTTGGAGTTAATGCATTAGGACTGAAATAACAGAACACTCAGCCAGCTGGACCACATCAACCCAATAATGTGATGTATGACCAATACAGGTTAAACAAAAATAAAAATCTGGTGTTCACCATGATCTGATTTTGATAAGAAGTATGTAAGTCTGTACTATGATATGGACCTATTTCTTTAGAGTAACATCCTGACACTCTCATGTAGCAGTCTGAGACAGTATAATTTGTGCGTGCGTGCATGCGTGTGTGGGAGAGGGAGGGAGAGAGGGAAAGAAAGCTATTGGGAAGAAGTTAAGTCTACTTCAAAATACCTCAGCACAAACATAGAAAAAAGTGTGGAAAATTATGAAAAAATAATCAAGACCGATGTACTCTGTCAAATCTGAATCACAGATCTCTCAAATGACCTTCATTACACAGATTTTTAAAGCAATGACGATGATATATAACACTCAGAATTGCTGAGATTTGGACTCCATCTATCGTCTGGTATTCTAAAAAGCTAGAGAATATAATAATGTTTTGGAAATTAGATCTGTTTTCATCCTCAAGCGAGGGGGGACACACTGCTACTCTGTTGGGGTGGTTAGAAACAGCTAACCTCCAGGTCCAGTGATTGAGGTTAACTATCACTAAAGGATTCAAAAAGAGTAGTTGTCTCGCCCCTCACCTGAGGATGGAAACAAGATCCAGTTTCTGGAACACTGTTCTCTGGTTTTTTAGAATACCAGATGATGGATAAAGTCCAACAAAGTCAGCAATTCCAAGCTTTATTATTACGGTTTATCTAACAATACTGTCAGTAGTTCAGGCTGTAAATATCAAATAGTAGGACGACTGATGAATAATGAACCAGAAATGACATGCATGTGTAACGCCAGGTCTACGTTACGTCAGAGGGCGACCCCCCACCCCCTTGCTTACTACTTACCCCTTCCAATGTTCCACTTCCTGGTTCCCGTCGGCTGAGGTCCAACGCGAGTGATCCATTCTGTTGTGGGACCCTGAACTGTGCAGTCCATTCACCTTTTCTGGTCGGTACGATTGTGATTGTCGGAGGCTTATTACCTCCAGGTACTTAGGTTGTATTTGTATTTGTTATTTAACATATATACATATTCATTTGATATATTTGTGATAGTCTCTTTGAGTTGGTACTTCCCACCCAAGAACCAAATTTCGGTCTTCAAGACCTTTTCACGTTTCAAATGGAAGCAATTATGGTCTAATATGAAGCACTATTCTGGCATTTAAGTGAAGGAACCAAGGAAGGCCTCATTTGGGATACCTGGTTTCCTGGCCAAGACTTGATGATTACAGAGAAGGAGTATAAGAAGGGCAATATTTAGTGAAGGTATATGAAAATGTTTAAATAAATCTCCAATTTAAAATGCTTACTGACAAAACCAAACTGTTTAATTTACCAAAGGAACATCTCTGTTTGATTTGCTATTAAATTATACCTCAAGTTGAAGACTCTGACAGAAGAAGTGCAGACAGTGGTAGACCTCAGTAAGAGGCTGGGGATTATCAACTAGCCTCGACTGGATTACTTGATGGATGTACTGCACTTGAAGAGAATGGACCAATGCCTTACCATCTGAAAAACAAAGATATGTATTCTCTTAAATCTGAGTTGTATGCAACAGACTGAATTTTCACTTAATATCACTACTACCAAACAGCCTTATTACAGGCTTGGCAGGGTGAATTATATGGCAGGAGGAAGCAGCTTCATATGTCTCACAGCAGGAATATGGGTGGGAATGTGGAGCAATGTCCTATCCTATATGATGGTACGTATCAGGCCACTTCCTCCTTCTACATTTTTCATACTGAAGGGGTGACAATGCATGCCAAAACACTGGAACAGCTTTAACATGCAATGGGGGTTAAACCATGAAAGCCAAAGGTACACATTCATGCTCTAATTTTCACTGATACTGTAACATGTCAGCTGAGAGCCAGACCTGTGAAGCCAGCAGAGATTGTCATTGCATGGGAACAGCTCTATAAACATATCCATTGCTAGCAGTGGCTCAGTGGACATCACGTGACCATGGCTATGACATGCAACAACAGAAGAAATGTTGGAAGCGGTGTTTTCTTTGGGTCTGTCCCAAAGCTGTATCACAAGGACCAACGTGACAAGAGTAATCAGTATTGAGATGGCAGGGTTAGTTGAGCAGAGTTCAAGTTCAGAAACAGGTAGCCCAAGGCTTACTCTGTTGCCCTTTGCAGAGGAATGGAAGGCAGAGGAGCCCCCTTTGCTGTGAGCCATTGTGCAGCAATGCCAAGTTAGTTGTGAGATAATCGCCAACCTGCAAGGAGTTGGAAGCCACCAGCCTGCATGGACGTGAAGCCGGAAGCAGAAGGACAACAATGGTTGGAAGATACTACACAGCACGGCAGTAAAGACGAGTAAACGGAACACGAGTGTGTGTGATAGTGATTTGTAAAGTGTAGCCACAAGAGTCAGGAGTCTTGAGACAGCAGTTAAGGAATGCAGTTCATGAGCCGTAAGGGCATGATGAATATCCCTCATCAGAAGATTGCGACCAGGAAATGCCTAGTTGAGAGGTGAGATATCTGCCTGCCAGCCAGCAAGGATAAAAGCTGCAGGATACAGAATATTAGGAAGCTAGAGCACTGGAAGCTGTTACCAGACAAGTAAGACACAGTAGACTGAGAAGACATAATGCATGCTGTAGAGAACTGCAGTGTGTGTTAGCAATAGTGCTTTAGTAACTGGGAATTAAAATCTGTAAAGAGTCCAATAAATCCAATTACCAATCCAAACCCATCTATAGTCAATCAAATTTAAGACNTTGGTGTCAGAAGTGGGATCGGTAACGCAAAACACGTTACAATATTTCAAGCAACTGCTGTTCCACTGTCCATAACCACAGGTTACATGATCCCACCCATGCTCTGTCCTTGCAACAATACTTTCATTTGTCTCTCTTTAAGGATAAAAGCAAAGTAAGATTTTTAAAATTTTAACAGTCATCATTATGACTGGATGAATTCACAATCGCCCTTGCCTCACAACTAAAATACAACATTTCACAACAATAAAGCAGTAGTTCTCAACTGCCAGTTCACAAACCACTGCAGGTATATAAAATTCAATTTACACCTGTGAACAACTTCCAGTTACAATCATATAGTCACATAATCCATCACACACTAACTCACCAACACTGTCAGTTGCTGCACAGAAACACCAGCCTATTTATTTAACAATCATGCATCAAATTTGCTATGTCAATGCTATCATGACAAATGAAATATTAAAGTTGTCACTTGCTTCATGCTTGTGATAGGGATACCAGAGCCCAGCCATCATTACTCAGCTGCAATGTACCATATTTCCAATACAACTCATTCCACAGAAAGTGATTTAAACATGTAAAATGCATCTTAAAAGAATTACAGCACAATTTTAGTTTAAAAACACCTACCTCCAGTTTCTTTATCTTCAACGAGAATATCGATGTCCAATAATCTCCATGGAATATTTGGTCCATCTCCCATTACTGTAAGGGAAACTTCAAATTCATGTTCCACGGTGAAAGTGACCCGACCACTCTCAATCTAAGAGAAGGGATAAATATCAAAATATAACACAAAAGATTTTTTTGAATTGTATCACTGATACAGCACCCTCATCAAGTGACAAATCCAGTGCCCATTCCACCATCACACATGTGCACATACAAACCTACCTTCCCCTTCACACAAATTCCTATAATTAAGGAAAGAGAAGAAGATTTGTGTAATTTAAATGTTCATATTTTAAGCTTGCTTTCTTGTTACACATCACCCACCTCTAGAAATTATTGGCCTGTTCTGTGCTGCACAAGAACATTTTAAATAATGGGGTTTAGCCCCTTGGGACCCATGTCTGAACAAATTACTCCTCCTCATGTTCATAAAAATGTTTCCTTGGGTCAGGGTAGGACTGGACCCCACTAAGCTCATCTATATCCACTAGCATTTACAGGATGATCATACAGATGGACAGGCCAGTGCTACTAGGCACTTCAGGGGAGATGTGTATGAGCCTGAAAATGCACGACTTCTATCACTTACCAGGCCGTACTAGCGGCCTCCGTAGTCTAGAGGTAACGTTCCCACCTCACGACTCGTAGTACGCGGGTTCAAATACCCGGCGGAGGTCGTCGAATTTTTAAGGGCAGAAAAATTCAGGGAACAAGTCCTCCAGGAGGGACTTTAAGCCGTGGGTCCCGTGTCGTAGCTTTATGGCACGTAAAAGAACCTCATACCTCCAAAGGAGGTCACTGAGCCAAAATTGCGGACGTTTCCCGCCCAACAGCAGTCACTAATACCTCCGGTAGATGGGGGAAGCATTATAGATACTTCTCAGCCAGTAGAGAGCCGGTCTCGCTGGCTGGGTGGGACTGATGGTAAGCACCAATACCGGTAGGATATAGAGGCTGGTAGAAATCATAGAGGGAAGCACAATGGACCACTACAGGTCTAAGTGCATGGGGAAACCCACCCTCTCTAATAACTAACTAACTAACTAACTAACTAACTAACTACCAGGCCGTACTGATATATTCGTCACATCTGCTTTTATGCAAAGTTTGTAACTGATTTATTTTTATGTATAGTACATATTCTACATCAGCACTAAAATGATATTATTTTCTGCTGCTGTAACATCAGCCTTCAAATTACTGCAAACTCTACATAGTCAAGCACTTCCAACCACATTCATATTGGAGGTTCACCATTCACTTGCACATGCAGGCACTCACACATTCAGATTTTATTTAATCTCACAGAAAGAAAGAAAAAGAAAAAGCAAACTAAACCTAAAATGCTAAAATGTGCTTTCCTTGCAATGTGGCAAGTACCTGTAACAGGGACAGAATAACAGATATTCAGACAAGTGGGACACATAGAATTGTATGATGGCCAGGACCTACTGGCCCAAATAGCTGCGTAAGATACTTGCAAGGGGAAGCTGTGACATTAACAGAGCACAATAAGTGGAGGGCCCCTGATGGAAATCTTCACTAAGGCTAAGGCCAATGAGGCAAAGCACTCTATGAACTTCTTGCAACTAAAGAAACCACTCTGTAGATTTTGAAATCTTTTTATGCCATCGAGATGCAAAGAGCTGAAGTCATCAACACACTTTTTATACACTGAGGCACTAAATGCTCATGTGACCCAGAAGCTTAGCTCCTTCAGAATGGGCCATCCTTGGATACAAGTACTTAAAGAATGAAGATGTGTAATATAATAACAACAAATTTATTTTTAAGAGTACGCAAATAAGACAGTATATGTAACTAAATGTTAATTTTACCATTCATTAACCTTTTGAAAGGTACAGCTCAGTTATAAATGAAAATCCAAGTGCAAATAATTATCTGCACTTGAATTTTCATCCCTCCACAGCACTGGTGCAATTTTAATAATGTTCTGCTTCTGGCATTTGAAGATATTGGGGCCTGGTAAATAGTGTGTCAATGCCCTCAACTTGCTTTTAAATGAAATCACTTCTTGTTTTCCATCAACTGACATGTAAAAGCATAAAATATAACAATATGTGCAAGCAAAAAACTCAGTTACCCATCAACTCTGTGGTACTCCATGTTGTAACAAATTTCACACACTCAACTAACATCACAGATATTTTAATGCTCTAATCAGTTTAAAGTAAAATAAAACAATTACTGAAATCTGTAAGGCCAAACATGAGACATAATTTGTTTTTTGTCCTTACCTGCAGAAAACCTATTCCATATGGCTGTCTACTAAGAGAAACCCTGATTTTCAATTAACTGAATGTTAATTTCATGATTCAAGGAGCCATCTACCTCAGGCCAAGCATTGTGGGTCTCCCACATCAACCACTTGTCTTTTGTGCAACTGCTTGCTATCTCTTACATATGATCTTGGAAGTTCCAAGGAACAGAATTACATAAACAAATGGAATACACAGAACACAGCAAGTCTGTTCATTAATTTTCATCGGTAGTTGATCTATTTTAACAAGTGACTGAACATAGAGGATGCATTCGTAAATTCACTCTAAATTCCACATAATTTGCATCCTAATATTTATACTCAAGGTTTGCATTGTAACTTCTCTTTCTGTCCCATTCCAAAACAGCCACAAATTCTATGCATTTATGTCTTGTACTTCAATTGTCAGCTGCTACTTCAAGAACATCAGCATACAAAACTATATCCCTTATACAAGTTAGGAAATGTACACAGAGTATAACAATTCTGGTGCATCTTCTCCTTTGATTAATTATGTTGAAAACTGTCTTACCAAAAGTGTACTTGGCATTAAATGTGTTTCAATTTCATATATAACTTTTATTCAGAAGATTTCTTGCTCCAATAAATATTTGGTGAGTTGTGTTTAACGTGCACAAAGAAATGGAAGTAGACCTTCGAGCGAAGTCCTTTATTATTGCCCAATTTAATCCAGAACTGCAATGTGTCAGACTTTACTAGAACAGCCCCAGTTTCAAATTTTAACAAAGATCTGCTCAGCAAATCTGAAATGTTGCATGCAAGCAGGCAGACATGATGAAGTTAACATAAACTGCTTTTGCAACCCATTGTGAATATGCCAAAAACACACAAAAACACCACAAAACTAGAATGATCATAACTTAAAACCATGCTGGCTTTTAGTTACCTTCAAATTCCTCATTTGTGGAAGAAGATTTCCAGTTACGAGACGATGCTGAATCACTTGGTTAAGTCGCAAGAGTGTTGATCTCCTCTCTGAAGATGTGATGGGATCTGGAGGTACTATACGTTCCTTTATATGCAATAAATACATTTCTCTCATGAACCATACAGTAAGTGTAAAAATTAATATACAAGGGCAAGTATAAAAGTAAAATATATTTGATAACACAAAAGCTCAAAAGTGCAACATTTCTCAACACAGTCCCCTTGCTTTCATATACTTGGTCCAGCACTGCACAAGCTTATGTGCTCTATCAGAAATAAAAAAGGTTTAAACTTGGCTGCAAGCTACATACACACTGCCAGCTTTAACTCATGGTTGACGGCAAAATAATGTCCTCTTATAGAGTCTTTGAGGGCTAAAACAGATGAAAATCTGATACAGCAAGATCAGGTGATGTTCTCTAAACACAGCTGCTGGAATGTTTCAATAGGGTGGGAGGCAATGCGGACAGCAGTATGGGGGCAGGCAGTGTCATGCAAAACACTATACCTTTTAACAGTTGTCCTCAGCAATTACTCAAATCACCAGCATCAGCTTGTCACACAGTATTTAACTGAAATGTGCAGTTTATTGTCACACCCCTTTCTTGATATTGACCACCTGTGAATACCAGAACAGTGCAAGCATAACTTTACTATTGCTACTTCAGATTTGAACTTCCCTTAGAAAGAGGACACAGGTGGTTTCCATCTCATACTGCAGCATTCATTTTCTGGCTCTTGTTGGTGAATCCATGTTCTATTACCAATAACAATGTGACTTCAAAAGGTATCACCTTCCTCGTGATACCAGTTCAAAAAGCTGTTACAGATCTACAAATGGTTATGCCTGTACATTCTGTGAGTTACTTTGGAACCCATGTTGCACAAACTTTACAAAAATTNAAGATGTGTCAGCACCCATAACTATTTGTGCTTTAATAAACATAAACACCTTGAAACAAATGTGACTTATTTCCAGTTGGTTTGCCACTTCACTGAGTCATCCACCTGTTGTTGAAAGAACTAGCAAATAGACTTCTTCGATGCCCCCTTCAGTATGGACATTCTACTGTTCTCTGTCAGTCACACTTATTCAGCCATTTTTTAACATTTGAATAAATTCATATATGCTTTATTACAGCAAATGCTGTCACTGTACTGTGCTGATAGTATCTGATGAATTTCTGCAGCCATTCCTTCACCTTCAGCCCACAAAAATCAAACTACTGCAGGTTGTTCTTCTTTGGTGCATAGGGTAAGCAGAGCAGCCACACTGATGCCACCAGTATAGTGACACCACAATTACAGGGAAATCCTGTACTTACAGTTGCATGTGCATTTAGCAGTGGGGCCAATAGAAAAAAAATATATAAACATTTTGTGGATACTTTCTGATTTATCCTCACATTTACTCACTGTCCTGTGTATTCAATAAATGTAACCTGTCATAAATGTAAACACTGTTGTCATATTATAAAAGATAAAACAACTTCGTCCAGTGTGACTGTTGAAGATTTTACTACTTCAATTCTTAACACCCTTACATGTTTCAGTCCCTACAGACCACCATCAGAGGGACATCGATACTCTTTGGAAACCACTGTTACAATGGGTGTTCTGAATGTTAAAATATATACACATACAATGCCCGTAATGCACTATATATATATATATATTTATATTGTGACGGACCAGAATGAAACAAATCAAAAACTGTTGTCGTAGCTTATTAATTACACATGTCAAGACTCTGATGCCTGAAAACCTGAACGTTAAACTGTATGGTTTTGTTTTAGGACCATATATTAATTTCAGGAATAACAAGACTTGGAATTCAGCAGGCCATTTCTACCCACTATGCAACAACACATAACTCAATTCTGTGTATATAAGAACTTGGCTCACTGGAACACAATCGAAACTCTCTGAGAATTACTGGGAAGAGAGATCCAAACTTGGAAGTTCCTAAGAACTGTTTGTAACACAATTGTTTTCTTCCTTCATCTTTCAAACGAATCTAGATTGGTCTTCTTCTTTACATTTGTGAAACTATCAGCTAATTATCATCAGTCAAGAGCTGAATGAACTGGAATTAAAAGAAAATACTCATGGAGGGTTCACTAACAGAACTTTCAGGGGCAATGTGGCAGTTTCTAATAATCCTGCACATTTAAGACAAATGCATATACTGTACTCAACAAAAAAAAACTACATAAAGTAAAAAAAGAAAGTAAAGCTATCCCTGTACCAGGCCCATAGATTCTGAGACACTGAGGGTCCCACATTATCTAGACAATCGACTCAAATATGGCGGTAAGGTTGTCATCTTTCGCGCCGGCCGTGCTTTACACCCCAGGAAAATTATTTAATTGATAAAAAAAAATATTTTATTCATCAACACTTCCAGGCATAGTTTTAATAATAATATTTAATTTAAACCAACTTACCCTAATGCATGCAGGAAGTCTAGAATATGTACCAGTTGTAAGAACCTCCACTGCTGCAGGAATGTGAAAATTTGGCAACCGTGCATGAACCAAGGTTTCCCTTGCCATTCGAGCCAACATATCTGCTGTGTCAACAAACAAGAGTGACTGTTTGTCCAGAAATGCCATTATATGCTGAAAATACAAAGAAATAAAATCACCAATTATAATGGATTCTGCTTTCATGTCACTAACAGTTATCTGTGATTCTTAAGCGGGAATATCATTAAACAGGCTGTTCAGTGGAATGTGAGAGATGGCAGTGAGCTGCATAGTAACTACTGCTACAACACTAGCACAGTATTGTACCCTTCTCATGTATCTTCGAGCTCACATCTCACTGAACTGCCCATAGATAATAACTTTCCCAGTACTCTGCATACTGAAGAAGAACAAATAGATTTCAACAGTACAGAAATAAATGGTATTACAAGAAACTGGGGTTATAAGTTTTAAAAATGTAAGTTCATAGGTCTACAACGCAAATAAATGGTTTCAACTACCACTGCACCATCAACATCACACCAAATTTCTTATACATATGACAGTCTCTATCTATAGAAATATACACACATCAGTCTCTGCTGTACTCACTGCTGATTTATCCACCTTGGAAGCACTGTTGGCCCATTTCACAAGTGCCAACAGTCTCACAAATAACTGGCGTGTCCTTGCTGAGAAGTTATAGATTTCTACCTTACGTTCCATGTCTGTCTTTCGAGGAAGGCTGAAAATTAAAAAGAAAGGAAACATGTTAAATTACCATAATCACTACATGTATAATTTGTACAAATAAAATTTCCAATTTCCACTGCCACTACCAACAGTAAGAAAAGAATCAACATAAAAACAGGAAAAAGAAAGAAGAAAAGTTCTTGCAGATTGAACCAAACACTATAGGAAATACAAGAAATCTTAGTCCACATGTCTCCTACAGATCATCCGATCAGTCAACCCAGCTTGGACATCTCTCCCATCTGGACTCCCATTATTACAGCAGATGTAAAAAAAAACTACAACTACGTCCAGAGTTGGGAAATTGTGTTTCTTATGCTGGTACCATACAGAGAATTTATCTCTCTAGTGACATCTATTTTGCCAGTAATCTGGTGCTAGGTCTCATATGTGTGGAGTTTTTTAAGGTTTTTAATGTTGGTCTTAACTCTGGCTGATGGTTCATGCTGTGCTTGGTTTGCATACTCTATCTTGCGCTGATGCAGGTGTCCAGTGATAGGGACTAGCTCTATTTTTCTATATATGGAATAAAAATAAGTTGTCTAAAATGGAGAAGTCTTTTTATCTTGTCATGTTTTAGGCACATGATTACACACAATATGAGGTACAAATTAAGTCACCACTGAAAAAGGATGTGTAAAGTCTCACACTGTGACAAAGAGGTACAGTGATTGCAAAAGTGTTTCGATATCCTGGCATATGGTCAAACAAGTTAAAGAGTAACATACAGACTTATTTCCCAAATGTTTAATTAACATTTCAGGCTCACCAATTTCAACTGTAGGATATTTTTATACCACTAAAGCACTCAACACTAAATTTACAACTATGATAATTAAGTTACCAAAAATACTTAAATTAAATATATACAATATATTCACAAAAACAAAATGAATAACTGTGCAGTAAAAAAGCAAGAGTGGGAAGACTACAAAAAGTGTCAACCTCCCACCCCAAAAAGGTTTCTCAGGAATAATCTAAGTTTCAAGAAAATATGGTAAATTGCAGGGATAGTAGCCACTTTCATAATTAGAGACATTAGATTTACTTACAGTTCTGCTAACACTGTAAGCTCATGATATGTCCGCTGGATGATGAAGTCAATAAGCACTGCAAGTGATATTGAGCCACCTCTAGATCCTTCCTGAGGAACATTATTCCCAAATGGAGTCTGATGACCTTCCAGTGGAACAGGAGCCATCTCTGATGCCTGTTTAATCCCTGAACATGAGAAAGTTTAATGTTAAATTCGAGAAAGCACTGTTAATATTCAGATAATATAAAACTGAAAGTGCAAAGGTTTATACTGAGGCCAAGGAAACCAGTCCCATGGACTGACCACCTTCCAATCTCCCTCAAGCTGCTATTCTTCCCCATTAGCATACTCTCTTATATTCCACACAGATATCTAGCCTTTCTTTCCACATGAATGTAGGCAGAGATATCCTTCACTACTGCCATGCATGTTAAGTTGCACAACACATCAAAGAGGGGGATGGAGGCAAATACAACAGTAGGCAGAAAGTGGAAGCCTCAAATTCCACTGCCCTCCTCATTCATGCAAACTTTCCACAACTTGAGCATATGTAAGATTTGAGGCTTTCACGGCGGTGACTATGAAGAAAGCAGTCTTCTGGGATTTGGCACCGTGTATATGTGGTGTTAACCGACGTTTCGGAGGAACGTATCGCCTCCATCTTCAGGGTAGGAGAAAAAATATAAGAAATCTGCAAGCGAAGAGACCGTGAGAACCGGTAAAAGCATACCGGTTCTCATGGTCTCTTGATTGGGTTTATCAGCAATTCAGTTACACGCTCTCTCTTAATTACACTTATATAGAGCACTTTCACTGATTTACACACTCTCAGTTCACAGTTGCAAACACACTAGGATTCTGTGTTCACTAGTCGTCTCCTAGCAACAGATCTCAACACAGCAAATAGCACTTCGGATCACTCCAGATATCACTGCACAACAGCATACACAAAGCCTTCTAATTCACATGCAAAGTCTTCACAGGCCAACGTCTACTCGTACTTCTTCTTCAACTACGAACTTCCCATGGCTATCTCCTTGCTTCCTTGTTCGCATGCTTCCGCTGCTATTATTTCTCGCTCATAACTCTAGCTGCTAACTAAACTATGTCACACACACTCACTGTCACTTATATAGCCAAGGGACAGACAACGCATCATCATAAATGCATGTCACGTGATCGCTACCCACCACTGTTGTGTGACATCACCGCACGCGCAGGAAACATGCTACATCACGGCCATGTACTGTGGTGTGACATCACAGCATGCACGTTGCAGAGCAATGGTCTGTCCGTGGATGAAGGAAACACTGTTCTTATAGTGTTGGCCACATGTGTTGCAGGCGTTGTCTAGCAACAGGTCTACATGCCACAATATTATACTGCAATGAATAACCAACTTGATCCAAATTTTGTAACTTCTGATCTATTCCTATAGTCATATTTCAACAGGAAATAAGTATTTTCCCTTAGCTAATAATCCCAAATTAAAAAGTGACCTTTACTATTCTGTTATGTGTATCAGCAAGTTGTTACAAAGAGAAGGATGAGATGTTAATGGTGGAAGATACACTTTCCTCAGTACCATTTAGTACACTGTTATCTTATCAAGTTCAGTATTTTGGTATAAATGTAGATATCTTTATAGAACTTTGCAAGTTACTGACATCAGGTACAGCTTGTAAAGCTTCTTTTTAACAATTTCTTCTGTAATAAAAAGAAAGTGTTGTTGCATGACAATGCCCGCCCACACATAGCCGGCCAGATCTTGAAACCATTAACCATTTGGGTTTCAAGGTGCTGAACACCCTGCCTACAGCCCAGAATTAGCCCCTTCCGACTATCATCTTTTTGGACCGCTCAAAGATGCTTTACGAGGTTGTAGATTTTCTATGGACAAAGGAGTGCGGGAAGCAGTGCATAAATGGTTGCGCTACCAACCGAAAACCTTCTTCTTTGAGGGAATACGCAAGCTTGTGGACCGCTGGACCAAGTGAACCGTAAATGAAGGAGACTATGTAGAGAAATGACATACTTCTTTAATCCCTACTTTTGTGTATATAAATTGGAAAAACAAGAGTGCAGATAATTTTTTACTTCATTATGTATAATGTCCTTAAGTATATAGTCACTTGATTTCATAAAGATAGTTCCCAGGTGAAAAAATCTGAATCCAGGTGAACCTGCAGATTCTAAAGGGTTCTGACGATGGTGGATGACACATAGAATTACTGGGTTTTGGGACTTTTTCCATCGTCCGGAATTCTAGGTAACAGAGGACACGATGTTTCGGAAATGGATCTGTTTCTGTCTTCAGGTGAGAAAGGAAGACACCTACTCTTTCTAGGGAACCCAACTGAGTAGGTGTTTTCCTTTCTCACCTGAAGACGGAAACAGATCCAGTTTCTGAAACGTTGTGTCTTCTATTACCTAGAATTCTGGACTATGGGAAAAGTCCAAAAACCCAGTAATTCCAGGTGAACCTCATATTCACACTGGAAATGTAAGACTGTTTATCCTTTGTCAAGACTGCTTTTACAAGTCAGGCTATTTGCTCGTTCAAGTTTATATATGCAAAATCTGAAGTTTTCACAGCAGTGGTTATGAAGAGTTCTATCTTCTGGGATATGATGTCATGTAATCCACTGAAAATTGTATGACATTTCAGAGGAACATGGTACCATCTTCAGAGCTGAAAAATAAGCCCAGCAAGGAACCTGCTTGAAGCAGGTAACAGAGCAACATATTCCTCTGAAACAATGCTTAATTTTCAAAGGAATACATGGAGTTATATCCCAGAGTACAGAACATTTCAAATTTAAATAAGTCTGACAGTGTCCTAGTAATAGTATCATGTCACTTGCCTTCACTGGTTCCTGCTCAGAATCTGCTTCTACCAAGAGATGGGCAATTTCATTCCGTCAGCTACACTATGTCCATGCCAACTGAACCCCATTATGTCTAGCCAGTTTCATCACAGACTAATGGCAGTCGCAAACCAACTAGGAGGTAATCTGACCATTGTCAAGTGTTTTCACCACAGCTTGAGGGTGAAAAAAAATTAAGAACAGCAGAAGAATCTTCATGGACTGTTAAGACATCTTGACTAAAGTGTATCTATTTAAGACGCTGTCCTACTGGAAACAATGTACTTCCACACCTCACATACATCCTCATCAGCCTGTTCTGACATCCCCCTTAATAGCTCATTTACACCAATTCCAAGAGACCAAAGACTAATTAATCACAGTGCACGCTGGTGGTAAAGACAAGTTTGTTGCAGGAGAATATATATGCTTTAAATGCCACTTAACCATGGGGGATTATCACTGTGCATTTAACCATAAGAATACAAACAATGAAAACCTGATACCAAATCTTCCAAAGATAAGTGAAACAGACAATGCCCCATTTCATAGTGTACAAATTAACCAACTTCCAGCACCAAAATAAAGAGTATCTTGGCTCAAGGAGAGGTAAATGAAAGGTTATGGCAGTCTTTGCTCTTAATTATGCACCATAAAATGAAGGCATGTGGAGGAGTGGATGTAGAATTCTATGCATTCATATCCTTGTCACTAGATGGAGGTGAGCTGCTAGCTTCATACCCTGGTTGTTTTACTGGAGAAAGAGCTCCCAGTACCCACTTGACAGGAGACCAGGTGGGATCCAGAGTCAGTCAGGACACAGTGGAGAAAAAAATCTCTGCCCTCTGCTGAGAATCAAACTCAACTTCCCTGAATGTCTTACCTGTAACCTAGTCACTATACTGAACCAACTATCCTAGCTCCACTCAGGGAGAGGCAAATTCCACATAAGAAAACATAAAATAACAGATCTGTATCAATTAATTTAAATCCACATATCATTCACAAAGCACATAATACAGACAGAATCTTTGCCAAATGTTAGCAGTTTTAAGGCTCTTGAGCCACAGGCCACCATAAAATACCAGCATGGTACAATTCATGCCAAATCCTAGTAAATGATTGGGCTTTTTTACAAGTGAATGAGTGAAAAAATATATTTCATTATAACAGCAATATCTGGGAGTATATACCATTACATCACCAAAAAAATTCAAAGTATCCTATCAATATGCATTATGCATTAATTACATCACCCATTACCATTAAAAAACCTCTAAACTTCATTATTTCTTCTAAATAATTCCATTCTAAGTTGCATTTGTATTTCTTGTAATTAGCAATGGCATTCTCTGGAATGAGATAGCTTATAGCAAATGAGAATCCTGCATTACTACTTTCAATTTACTGTTTATTTGAAGAGACCATTCTCTAGAACCTTATAAAAATTCGTTTTGAGAAAATTATCCCACATTTTGTAACTTGCTCAGCCATACTTCATAATGAGGAGCTTCATAATTTGTACTCCTCACTAAACATGAAATTTGAATGATCAAGCCAAGGAGGATGACATAGGAAGGGGATACAGAACACATGGGAAAGAAGAAGAATGAATACAGAATTTTGGTGCGAAAACCAGATTAAAGAAAACACTAGGAAGACGTAGCTGTAGAAGGGAAAATATTCATCTGACTCGGAATAGAGACCAGTCGTGTTAATATGGTAATGAACCTTCAGGTTCCATAATATATTGGGCAATTTTTGGGTAGCTGCGCGACTATTTGCTTCTCAACATGGACTTCGCTCCATGGAGTCAGTTTGTTTGTAAGTTCATACAGAAAATGATATAAGATATTGTTCAACACTACCGATCTTCGTAATTATCCTTTCTCTCCAACGTCAACCCGGGGAGAAAAGCTATTGGTACCCACGACAACTGCAGGCTATTGCGCTTGTTTCGTCACTTCGTTCTTTCAGTTGCCGAATACGGTAACACAGTTCACTTACGCATCACAAAGAATTAGTGCATCACCTGTCTTATATTTCACTCACAAACCACAGCATAACACACAACTGTAAAGGATGCACGTAATTTTAACAATACTTACCTTTCTAGTCTATCACTTCACAGCCAACATTCCACACTTGACATATAACAAACAGTGCTGACCGTGCTGACGGTACTAACCACTGCCAACTGCCATCTTCTGTGTGCGTTCGGAATGTTCGGAGCGGTTCGGGTTCGGTGCGCTAAAAGCACAAACTAGTGTTCTGAACCGTTCTGAGCGGTCTGGGCACCGTTTCGTTGCAGCAGCAGTTGCGAAAATTCATAAGTAAGAAGAAGTTCTGGGAAGAACTAACAACTGATGTTCTTCCCAATATAGGCATACAGTTTGATACAAGTGGTGCAAAACTTTTTTATGTGTGAGTAAGTACGTCAATACAACAATAATATATACTCCATTTTATAGAACCTGAATTGCTCATGTACTAAAACAATACAATTTGATTTGTTTCATTATGGTCCTTCATACTAACAATTACAAAGACAAAACAACGCCGTCCATTGTGACTATTGAACTTCTTACTTCTTGAAAACTTAACACCCATACATGTTTCGGTCCCTATAGACCATCATCAGAGGGACATCGATACTTTATGGAAACTACTATCACAGTGGGTGTTTTGAGTGTTAAAATACATATATATACAGTGTTTGTAATGCACAGTATATACAAAATCCAACTTTTCCACAACTACAGCAGCTTTCTTGGTATATTAAAGTTTTTAAAACTTTGTTATTTAAGTTAAAATTTATAAACGAAGTAGGTTCGTGTCCCTTCCCCTATTGTCTTTCTTGACAGGGGCTGAATTTGTGCCGCCTGTCTCTCTTGAGAAGGAGATTCTGGGTATCGTCCTGTGTTTGTTCATGGCGTGCCGTGTTGTTTTTACAGTAACAGATTTCCCCCAAGTACTCCAGTTTCCCCCAATTCTCATTTCACCATATACTCTATACTTGTCTGTCATCCAGGGCTGGTACAATAGACCAATTGTTGGCCAATGTACCAAGTGAACTCAGTTGCACCCCACCCTATGAAGCCAAGCATAACTATGACCCATGCAGCCAAGGAGTCAGAATGATTGCCAGCAGGAGGGACTGATTTTTCTGTTCTAGATGGTTTCCAGACTAGCTTGGGCACTACCCAATCTCCAGTGTTGGAATCAGTCACCATTATACCAGAATACGACCTGTTGGGAATCGTAGACTCGCACAATGCAATAATGTACACATTGCCAGTAACGTTGCCCCGTGGTGACGCAACAACAGAGGAGCTGTTAGGCAACACTTTCCTGCTGTGACATAACAGCGGCCACTGCTGCCGCTGCTAGGGTAACAGGCCAGTAAACACTCCCCCGCTGTTATGTCACAGCGGGGAGCTGCTAGGCAACAGGCCACTAAACACTTCCCTGCTGTGACATAACAGTGGACGCTGCTGCTGCTGCTAGGGAAACAGGCAACAGTATAAGAAGCTAGCTGAGGACCAAGTGTGGCAGTGTGTGTTGACAGAAGCCAGTGGTTAGCCAGCATGGAGAGACAGACAGTTCTACATTCTAGTGAGAGTTGTTAACGCCAAAGGAGTGACTGTGAAACGACTTGTTCAGCATTTTGTGTTAGTTACGGCATTGAGTAATAAAGTTACATCACAAGAATACACTCCTCGAAATCTTGTTTCACAACATAACCCAATCAGATGTCACCCTGAGGACCTGAAATTTCTTCCATACCTTCGGGCTCTCTACATTCATTAAACTATAACATATGTACAGCATCAAGATTTCAAAGTATGGGAAGACATTATGCTGTACAGCAGATAAATCTAATCATACTGGGTATTCCACTGGTAGGTGACACTTCAGCACCAGTCTGCAGATAACCATGTCTGTTTGAGATTTATCTCTTCATTCCAGGAAGCCCAGACTGTTGTCAGTAAGCAAAATTTGCAACTGAATATATACCATGAACTCTGTTGTGTAGTTATGAGTTGATGCAGGCTTGTCCAGGAATTACTGTAGGGACTGAGTCAAAGCTATATTCTGTATNTTACGTCTATGTACTTTAGCTAAGAGTAACTAACTAACTAACTAACTAACTTCATGGAGCTGACCCCTTTTGAGAAGCCACCAGTTTTGCAGCTACTCAAGAACTTCCCAACATTTTATGGAACCCAAAGGTTCATTACTGTGTTCGAAAGAGCCCCCCCACTTGTCCACATCCTAAGCCAGATCAATTCAGTCCATACCACCCCATCCTAATCTCTAAGTAAAGTAAAGTAAAAGTATCCCTGTCACAGGCCTTGGAAGCCCATACGGTTGTGAGATGTTGAGGTTCCCACATTTTCTAGGTAATCGGCTCATAGATGACAGCAAGGTTGTCAGCTTTACACGCCAGCCGCCCTTTACCCCCAAGAACATTCAAAGAATATTCTTTATACTCATTTCTGTTAGAGGCCGAGTCGACTTTAGGGCCATAGTGCAGCTGGAAGGATTAGGTAATTCATTCATCTGTAATCTGTCAAGACGACAGGTCCACAGTCTCTTCCAAAACAGTTCCTCCACTTGATGCGATCTAGAGCTTTCTCCTTCAAATGAAAATATCCTCTTCTATCCCCAAGGTCATCGAGCATCTTCTTACGTCTTCTTCCTCGTCTTCTGGTCACTTCTGTCCGCCCCTCTATCTTTCTTTCAATAACTTCTTTTAGGTAAATTGAAAAAAAATTCAGTGACCTAATTGGGATTTGATCCCGCAACTTTCCGGCTTGTAGCATAGTGCCTCAACCAACTACGCTACCATGTGCCCCTCCATCTCTCTATGATCCATTTTAATATTATCCACCCACCTATGTCTTGAGCTTCCTAGTGGTCTCTCTCCTTATGGCTTTCCCACCAATATCCTACATGCATTCCTCTTCTGATATACAGTAACTTGTAACTTCGTATCAAATAAATGAATGTTACAATTTTAGTACTCTGTGATTTAAAGAATAATGCTCCTCAAAGGCAATGTACATTATCCTTTTTTATTTCATAAAATACAAATGGAATGACAGTTATGCAGTATACACAATTTATAATATCAAACAGTAGACAAATTGAGAATTAAATGAAATAACAGTAATACAGGTGACAAACAGTATTCAACAATTTCAAACTTCTATTAAGAAAATTTGCATAACACTCCTTTATCTGTTCTGGAAGAATTTTCTATATGCAATAAATAATCTTGCATCTACTATACAAAATGGAATGAAACAAGTCTGAATCCTTGCTTTAACATTCACAGTATTTTAAATTATTTAAAATTTAATAAATAAAGTAATGATACAATATTGTTCTATTAAGAGATTTCCAGCTTTTGAAAATGTTAACCATACCTGTAAGCACCCATGTAACATACACAGCAATCTTATGAAATGCCAGTGCCTTAAATGACCTGCTAAATTTGCACAGTAGCAATTAATCTAATTAGGACTGATATAATTCATTCCACATTTTGGTCCTGAAATCCTCATACCTTTCCATTATAGGCAGTACTGTGCAATATGGGATTGCATTCAACTTCAATTTACAAATTTTCATACTCACAGTCATTCTAAAATGTCATTAACTGTATTAAATTGGAAATAAAGCAGACAGAAAACCACAGATAAGTAAAGATAAGCATAGTAAGTCCCTGACATGTAAGGGTTTCATGTTAAACATAGAGTAGATGTAAGAAGAGTGTTCTATGACCTGCTGTTTAATCACTGCCTGATATGCTTTCTATGAAAAGAGTGATCATGAAAGAAACTAAATCTGTTTTGAGAAGTACGACACAATTGTTTTCCCTTAGTTATGTGCATAACAGTGTGATGTATTTGTGAGTTACCAGTATAGTACACAGAAACTTCATTTAAAATATGATAGTTGCACATGAAGAAGAAACAAAGAGTACACAAAAAACTAGTTTAAAAGTAATTATATTAACATGGCCCATCAGTCTTACAAATGCAGAAATGCTACACATTTTGGGAACTGTGATGGAATTAAGAATAGGAATTACATTAAAAAATACTGTACTTGAAATAATTTTATATAAATTGACTGTTCACTGAGAGTTCATGTTACTTACAGAGATATCCAAATGAAACAAAGCCTTGATTGCCCAAGATAAATTGAAAGTACCATTCTCTGCAATATGACTTCAATGATAATTTTGCTAAACATACTACTTATAAATAAGAAACAAACATATAACATGATCAAAAGAACATTTTTAAACAAGTTACTTGATAGTAACTGACATATGAGCCAAGTGCTAAACTTAAATACTAGATCCTATGGTTACAAAATGGACGTCAAGTAACATTTGTTACTTCCCAGTAGTTTTGCATTGTACCTGCAACCATCAAAATCCAATAGGTATAAAATTCTAATCTATATGCTCACAGGTACCACATGGGTTTATTATTCTGATGATGTTCTGATAGCATGCAACATTTTCTAAGTTGCCGCATGAAACATTGCATCAGAATTCTCCCAAACTGTAAACAGTACTGTAATGACATTCTGTAAATATAACACTTAAAGATAAATGTATAAAAACTGCCACTTTTATTATGAAAAGAATATAACGTGATGAGTATTAATTTCCACGCACATGCAATGGTCCATATTTTATTTTTATTTTTGGTTTAATCAACAATAACCACAGTCCAGGAATACCACTTGAACAGCAGTTTCTCATATCTTGCAAAAATTCAAGGATATTACAAGTCCTGGCATGAACTCTCCAACAATAAGAAAACTATTATGTAAGAACACTAGACAAAGGATATATGATGCACACACAATTTCTTGAAAAAATGTTCTGCACACAATGAGTAATCACAAAGTGTATTTCCATAACACACTTATATGAAAACATTCATTGCCTTGCCTGTGATTTAAGTGACATGAGATTCTGAAATTCTGAAAAACTGTTACATTCGTCTTACATCTTAAAATGACATTAACAAAAAGAATAAATTCTTTGGAAAGTTAAATGCCGACAATTAGGCAAATCTGTTATCTTGGAAATTTGAGCTTGAGTGAACATGAAACCTTAAGCCAGATGTGGCATGGGTTTATAACGCTCTTCGATGTGGTATATTTTTTAATTTCAAATTACTTTGTCATCATTCCTCTTTCTTTCATAATATTCTTTCTCACTTCACACACTACATTTGTTGACCTGTGATTTACAACACATATGCCCACAATATCCAATACACATGTGAACTTCACTGGCTCACAAAATGCCATTGGCAAGATACTGGAAGCGATCATAGATTCTGGTGCTGAGTGAATGAATGCTTGACTCCACCAAATTGTCCACCAAGAGTTGGAGTTGTTCTTCTGTGAGGTTCAAGTGAAAGCGATTCTTTAGACCGTGGACAGTGGCTGCACCTGACTTAAAGCATGGTAGCTGTGACCCTGAAATAAAATTTCACAACAAATTGTAGTGATGTTGTTGCAGCTACTTTTTGTTAAGTGTGGGAAATAAATGCTGAATTTAGGTCATATAGTGTCAAGCATTCCCCATCTAGTTCCCGATACAAATACATGAAAATCTATTACGGACCGCAACTTAATTTCAAGTAACAAGTAAAAACAGACAAGGTTTGAAGTTCTCAGGGCTCTGAATATGGAGATATCTTCTGCAATGTGATGCCATGTAGTTTGGCAGAAAGTTACCAGAAATTCTTCCAGCCTGAAGATGGCAGCAGCAATTCCTTCAAAACGTTCATAACTCTCGACCATACTACACAGCATCACATCCCAAAAGCTAGTAATCTTCAAATAACAACAGAATTCTCTGATACATATACAGAGCTGCCAAAAAGTCAGTTAACATAAAACATTCTCTTGTACTAATAGGAATGTTCCAATTTAAACCTGCCAGACAATTTGCAGAACAGTATCACAGCACTGTTCACTGAACATGGAGGATCTGACTTCAACAAATTTTTGTAAATTCAATAAGCAATAAAGAAATATCAAACGTATTTCAGTATGCATTTTACTAACCAGTTAACTGACTTCTGGGCCACTCTGTATGTGATCAACTTGATAAAATTATGGTTTTCAATGTGTTTTAACAAAATATTTCCATGCTTACTCATTAGACACAAATTTCACATCACATAACGATATCCTGCTTGATGGACAAGAGCTGAGCAATCATGCAACAAGAAAAAATTACCAACAAGAAGGCACCTAGCAGAAAGTACAATTACAACCAAGCAAATCCATCTGGTAACAGTAAGAGACCATTCAAGTATAAGAACATCAACAAAGTTAAACTCTCATACTAAAGCAATGAGAAAGACTGCAACACTAACAAAGTAAAAAGTCAACTGCTATCTGCAAGACACAAAGAAGTAAAGCCGACAAACATTTACATATATATGGCAAGGTGAAAAAAAAAGTGATTTGGAAACTTTGGTTCCCAGGATTAATCACTGAAAACGGTACTTAATTAGGATTTTGATGGGAATAAATGTACTTTATACATTAAAACTGAAACATTACCATACGCACAGTACATTATTTACGGAAATTACCCAAAGCATTTAGTTTGTAGTTACATGAGGGTGTTGAGGAGCTTGGCGATCGCTTGTGCTTAAGATAGGTCTGTGATAGCTAAACTACGAAACGTAGTTCATGCACGCTAAAATGTCCACATTTCATCCAACAAAACCAAAACAGCAAAGTTGACACAAATGTCCATTATCAGCCAATGGCTGGGTAAACATCGTTCCCACAGTGAAGTCACCCGTTACTCAGTAATGGTTGGCTAAATGCATTCCAACTCCAACGTGTAGCCCCGAACATGTATGGTTACCACAGTAATTAAAACTCCAATGCACAGCACTGAACATATATTTCTGTGATAACAATTCACTAAGCAGATACGGTTACCATGGTAATTACAATGGTTCCCAATGCGAGGCAATCTCAAAAGAGCAGAATGGAACTTATGAGGGAGTGTCTACTATTACGACTGCCTAACAGATATACTGTTCTCCCAGTGAAGTCACCCATTACTAACGGTTGGCTGAATGCGTTCTAACTCCAAAGCATAGCACTGAACACGCATTTCTGAGACAAAAATTCACTAAGCAGATAAGGTTACATTGATTACAATGGTTCCCAATGGGAAGCAATCTCCAACGCACAGCATCAAATATGGATTTCTGTGACAATTCACTAAGCAGATACAATTACCATGGTAATTTCTGTGAAATGTTATGCTGAAATGTCACTTGTGGCTTCATCCATTTGTACTCTCATATAATGTTTACCCAGATTCCCTATAGAAAGAACTGTAAATATATCTCAGCTGCTATAAGCAAGGCTAACAGACACTAAATATAGTGGACTCTTGTTCATAGCTCCCTAATTATTTCACTGTTGCCCATCTGTTTCAGTAATGTTTTACAGTGATGTGCAGTAGACCATACATCTTCCCACCCTGCTACAGTTTTCCATTTTATTACTCTATTGATTTTCATGCCAGCCTATTACCACTGAACAAGAGTTGCTTTCTTCTATTGGAAAGATATCCATCCTGATTTTTCAGCAGGATTCACATGAAAGCAACTAACAACAAGTGACAAACAAGATGCAACCAGTGATAATATAGTTTGATAATTTGTCAACATGTCAGTGCCTGAAACCTGCATACTAAATTTGCAGTTATCACAGTAAAGCCTAAAAAGGTAACAGACCAGTCAACAATACAAAGCAGTCACTATGGTCACTTCACTACTATTGAGTCTTAGGTATCCAGTGGACTGACATGGAACCTGGATTGAGAGGCATTTCAGTTTTTTCATAATTATCTACCAGAATTTTTCTGCAAATATACACAATTCAGACATCAGAAACCAAAGAAAATTCCTTTTGCAGCACCTGTACTGGAATGTGGGAACTACTTAACTACTTTACTATTTTCACTCATAGTCATACTACTATACATATAATGGTAGTTACCATATGAGGACCACAATGTTGCATTTGTCACAAACTATCCTGACTACCAGTCATAAGACTATTATTATATGACATATATAAACTACCTTCAAGCAACAAAATAACATTATAATGACACTTTTTACTTCAGGTAGCAGCAACCAGAATCAAAGACTCATTAATTATAACTGGATGTACGACTACTAGATTACAAACTTCCTATATGTCCAAAGTTTTATTACAGTCATTGTCACAAAGAACAAACATAAATTGTCAGTAAAATAGTAACCAATCACCAGACAACTGGCAAATAACTCTTGAAAGATATACCTCAGGCAATGGACAATGTCCACCATGATTGTGTCATTACATACTCACATAAACGGTATTATTACCTGAACGCATAATTTCCACGAGACTGAGAATTCGATCCATATGTTTCCGTGCTGCTATGAGACCTTTCAGGATCAATATTTTGAAATATTCAAACATATCAGAGCCAAGACCACCCATTACTTCAACAAATTCTGGAGTCAGCTTAAAAGGTGACGTCTCAAATCCCAAATTCCGAGGCGATGTAGACAGGATGAATCCAAAATCTATGTGGATCAAATGACCCTCACTGTTAAGAAGAATATTTCCATTGTGCCTGACAACAAGAAAATTAAAAGAATTAACTTTTTAAGCATACAAATACAGTGAAACCCTCATTTAATGTTCCTCAATTGAAGGTTTTCTTACATTTAACAATCAACTGCAACAATCCCCAGTCAATAATCTCAGTGCTAAATTCCATGCATTTAAGATTTTCATCAGATTAATGTCCAGATCCACTAGATGTCACAGACACTTAATACGGCATTTCACTGGAAATAGTTAATGGAATTCAGAGCTCTTGAAAATATACAACATAACACCAACAAAGTAAAATCCAGTACTTGCTCATACAGATGCACAAAATAAGAAATATTGAATGAAACTGAAGCAGAAATAAAAAGGAGGAGGGGGAGGGATGTGTGAAAACATGAAATAGCAGCATGACCATCCAGATCACAGTCTGTCACTTTATACAGACATCTTCAGGTTCACAAACCACTTAAATTTGCACTGTTTGCATTTAACCAATGAAGTGAGATGAAAACTGACCATAACTATATTATACCAAGTGTAAAACAGTCATTTGTCGTTACGTAAATCGGATTTTTCTTTTTAGGTCAAAACATTTTACAACAAATATCCACATACATCAAGGTGTAGGGCTTTATAAAATCTTCTCTCCACATGAACACAAGTTAAAATGTCTATAAATAAAACAAATTCCTGCAGTACATATACAAAATTTTTACTCTAAGAGAATACTTTCCTAGGCTAGGATACTCAAACTTCCAAACAATCTTTTGATCCTCTGCCTATCCTTCACAATACAGTTAAAGCAATTGGCCCATGTGTTCATTGTAATTACAGTCTTCTTAACAAATGAAATTTGCAGTGATACAAGGTATGTCCCAAAAGTCATGAAAAATATATATATATTTTTTTTTAATTTATTGAGGATATCAGTACGAAGTGTTAATATTCTTCAAAGTACGGTCCATGAGCATCTACACATTTTTCTCACCGACTCTCCCATGTCCAGTACGCCCCCTCAAAGGCCTCGACGGGAACCTCATTTAAAGCTGTTGTCACAGCCGCTTGGATAGCCTTAATGCTTTCAAAACGGCGTCCTTTGAGTGCATTCTCAATGAGGTTCAATTTCCACACATTCCTTCAATTCATTTGCGATCAACACTCGATTGGCCTTTTGCTCGTCCGTCAACAATTTGGGGAACAGCTTGGCGCACACCTTTCGCATGTTCAATTCGACCATAAAGATGCGATGCACAACGGTTTCTGGAATGTTCAGTGTCGCCTAACAACCGGACAGTCATTCGATGGTCAGTATTCAACAAATCATGCACATGAGTCACATTTTCATCGGTTTGGCTTGTTGATGGCCGTCCAGATCGGGGGTCATCTTCCACTCCTTCCTGGCCCTCCTTAAACTTCTTCACCCACCTTGTAACTTGCACATATGATAGAGTAGACTCCCCGTAGGCTTGCTTAAGCAGTTCGTGAGTTTCGGCAGCTTTTTTGTTGAGCTTTGTGCAGAACTTGACCACCCAACGTTGTTCGAAAGTATCCGCCATCGCGCGCCATGATGTGGTCACAAAACACAGGTGCACTAAATCAGCGATACTGACACCTCCGATGCTCGAACAGACTGACTTTTGGCTCTCTGTGAAGCTAAAGGCCTTCCCCCCCTAACCCAACCGGTTCCAGCGCGCTCCGACCAATAGGAGCGCGGGAAAGAAATATATTTCATGACTTTTGGGACACACCTTGTATATTACGTTTATAGTGCTTTTGTCACACAGATCCTTACCTGTCTTTCACTTGAACAAGATAGCAGACAAGGCAATAGGCAGCACAACTTTCTACAAAGTTTCTTTGTGCTGTGAGGAAATCTTCTGAGTTGTGGGACCCATATTGTTGTTCAAAATACTGCAGTAATGAAAGCTGACAATGCTTCCTGATTTGATGTAATGACACAGTATTCAGGATGGGCTCAATGAGTCCACTATCATTTGATAAACATAATATCCTTAAACAAATAAAATGACACAACAGAACATATTTAGAATTTACATCTGGAAGTACAAGAGTTAAATCTGTGCAAGAGAGCAGGGGAAAATAAATACATTGTATTATGGGATACTGGTGTTCCACACATATACTATAGAGAGGTGTGCAACTAACATGGGAAAGTAGCATGAAATTTTCCACTAAAATAGTTTAATCTGAATAATATAACAGATAAGGCAAACAGAAATGGACATTTTGAGAGTTACTTAACACTGCTGTATCACCTGCATGGTTATGCAATATCAAGTGAAATTAAAGTGTGAATACATATAGTACAGGAAGATCGAGAAGTCGTGTACATCACACTAAGCAGTTATATTTTCTTGGTTTAATGCACAAACTACAAGACATACAGCATTTGCTATTAATGTTTATAACCTTACATCTTAGAAATGGACATACAGTCAAGAAGGTGATCTGATAAGGTTACTTTTATATTTTCAAATTGAGGAAAACAGGCTAAAAACCAGTCAGTATAACTGAAAACACCATCACCTAAAGACAAAGTAGAATACACTACTGTCTGAGTTAAGGTACTGCATATAATTAAGTACAAACAGCACAATCCTTCTTGAGAAGCTGCCATTTTCTTTGCTACACAAGAAATATCCAATCTCTTATGGAACCCAAATATTTGTAACCATGTTCACAAGATAGTGTGACACTGATGCAGATACGCATGTGCACACATGACTGAATTCAGAAAATATTATCTACATGAAAAGCTCTGCTTATATCTCTGCAATATTCCTAGAACTGCAATGTGGAGATCTTCATTAGAAGCCTGTAATATACAACCCCAAAGGGCTATACAGATAAATTCCAATATGACTTATTTTTACTTAATGTAATGAGACATGTAGTAGTGTACTTGGTTGAGGCACTATATTACGAGCCAGCAGGCTGCAGATTCGATTCCCAATGAAGTCGCTGGATTTTTCAATTGCCTAAGCCTTCCAGCCGCATTATTGCCCTTGGGTCGACTCAGCCTCTAACAGAAATTAGTACCAGGAATCTTCCTGGGGGTAAAGGGCAGCTGGCATGTAAGGTTGACAACCTCACTGCCATCTGTGAGCCAACTGTCTAGAAAGTATGAGAGCCCTGACATTTCACAAACCCTATGGGCCTCCACAGCCCGTAGGGATAGCTTTACCTTTACTTAATGTAGTAGTTTTGGGGAAACTGTAAACCAGTTGTGCAAACTCTGAACACATATAATTCTGACTACTCACAGATTAAATAATTTGACAATACTCACTTATATGGGCGAACCCACAGGTCAATCCTTTCTGTTTCCCAAATATGTTGTAACATTGTGAGTAACTGTGAAGCAAGAAGTTCTTGTCGTAGATCATCACCACATTTAACAATAACAGACAGAAGACGCCATGAGGCCATATGACCATATGGTGAAGCTTCCCTTACTCGCCTTTCCTTTATTTCCCATGGCTCTTTCAGGGCAGTAGCAGATGGATCTTCAGGATCATGTGTAAAAGCTACTCTCCGTGAATCATCCAAAGATTCTGATAATCGTCGTCGAATATCCCCTGCGGCAATGAACACTGGAGGTTCACGAGAATCACTTGACTCCTGACTTAACTGAGAGATTGTATCACGATCCATTGGCTTGCGCAGCTGCATATACTGCAAAGATTAATAACATAAAATGGTAAATAGATCAGGCTGGTAGTGCCTGGGTTTAAACTCAGCCAGGTCACTGATTATTCTGAGTGAAGATTTTGGCTATATGAGGTACTATCAGAAAAGTTCCCGGACTAGGTCAAAAAAGAAACGCTGGCTTAACTTGCTAAATTTTGGCTGTCATCTCCTTCAAAATAGTCTCCTTGGGAGAGCAATATCATCATTTTTTCCATGCTTCAGAAGCACCATGGAAGTCATTATCCTTAATGCTGTCAAATACCGCTTGTGATTTCCCTTTGGATGTCAGACACTGTTTCAAAATGTCATCCCTTCCTTTTCATTTTCAATTTGGGAAACCAAGCAAAATCACAGGAGGCTGTCTGGCAAGCAGGTAGGATGGGGAACTATAACCATGTTGTTGCTATCACAAACTCTGTGGTTTTCAGGGACGTGTGGAGGGGGCACATTGTTGTGATGAAGCAGCAATGTGGAGCATGTCCAAATTTTCTGTTAAGATCTCCTGGCAAACTCCATAACTCCCAACAGTGCCTGCATGCTCATGGATGAATTCTCGAATTTTTTCAACATTTTCTGTCATTTTGCTGGTGCCTGGTTGCCTGAACATTTGTCATCTTCAGTTGACACTTGACCAGGCTTGAAATGTGAATGTCATTAAAAAAAACCCTGACCAGCTTAAAGAATGTTCTCCAAAAGCCTCACATAAAACTTGATGCAGACACATTACTCAATTTTGCCATCCACAGAAATGAAACATGAAGCTGAAAAAGCACTCGTGTAAAAATGAGTATTCACAGCATGGTGTCACGTGGCAGACTGAAACAATAGGCTTTCGGAAGTGTGACCTTGGCCTCCCCTCTCATCTTCTTTCACCAAGGCAGATACAATGGTAATAGTCTGGGAACTTTCTGATACCACCTCATACTTCTCATTCTCCAGAAGAAAGTCAGGATAATACAGTGTGTTCAACTATCGAGGAAACCGGGTAAGCGCTGTGGTTCAGATAAAACATTTCTCACAGATTGCTGCTGTAACTGCTGATAGCAGAATGAGTCATCAGCACTGATAAACGCGCGCACTCTAACTAATGCAGAGAGGATGAATCATTTCTCCATGACTACTGTGCCCTTCCCCGCTAGCGAGACTGCAGTCATGTCGCCGATTCCCCCACATCAGTTTCTGTACATGCACACATTTATACGAATACTGTAAAAAGATAACAAACTTACTGTGCTTTATAACAGGTGTTGGAAGTGACCCCCTTCTGCCTGCAAACATGCCTCGCATCACATAATAAATTAGGCGACATTTTCTGAAGTTGGTCCATGGCAATTGAACTAATTACACATGTTATTTCATTCTGTAGAGCTTCAGTGGTGTGAGGATTATTCTTGTAGACATTTCCCATTAGGTTTCTCCAAAGATAAAAATCGCAAGAACTGAGATCTGGGAATTTGGGAGGCCACAGTCCCCTGCTGATTACTTTGTCTTCAAACACTTCCCGTATTGCGACCATGGATGCATTAGTCATATGTGCTGTAGCATTGTCTTGCTGAAAATATGCATATTGTCTTCCTTCAGCAGTCAGCTGATTGAATTGAATTGAATTGAATTTATTTACATTCTATAAATCCTAAGCAGGTTAGTACCTTTGGATACAGAACAAGTCAAAATGTTACATACATAAGTACAGGCAATTTTAGCTTAAAAATTAATATAACTTAATTTTACATCATTCTCTATTTACATTGAAGTATTCATCTAAAGAGTAGAAGGAATGAGCATGTAGATAATTCTTTAACTCTGAATTGAAGAATGGATTCAGTGTATCATTAATGTAGCGGTCAGAGTTGATGATTTCACGGAAAAATAAGGAGCCAATGATGCAGCACAGACTTACAACACACCACACCCCCACCTTTTTACTATGTAATGGCACTTGCTGTATAGTGTGAGGATTTTACACGCATGATTAGTTCAATTACCATGGACCAACTTCAGAAAATGTTGTATAATTTATTTATGTGATGCGAGGCATGTTTGCAAGCAGAAGGGGGCTCTTCCAACACCTGTTATAAAGCATGGTAAGTTTGTTATTTTTTTACAGTATTCCTATAAATGTGTGCGTGTAGAGAAACTGACATGAGGTAACCATCAACACAACTGCAGTCTCGCTTGCTGGGGAGGACACAGTAGTTGCAGAGAAACGATCCAAGCAAGCAGATATTCTCGAGGGAACTATCCCTACTGAATCATCTACCAGCGGCTTCCATCATTGCAATTTTCCCTTATAGGTCTAATAAAACAAGCTTTACATCATCAGCTTCATCAATATACTGCCACACCATGATGTCATGCTGAGTGTCACATCATTGCTTTTTACATTCTTTGGGGGCCCCCTCTCCCTCTATGGCTATCCTGCCCTTGCAGAATTTGGCTGTTTTCAGTTTCTTAATCTTTCACACAATCAGTAGAACTCCTTGGATAGGGGATCGACCAGACGCAAGGCTGCTACCTGGACACGTAGAACAGCACAAACACAGAATAAATGCACACAGACATCCATGCCTTGAGTGGGACTCGAACCCATATTCCCAGTGTTCAAGTGGGCAAAGACAGTTCATGCCCTAGACCATGCAGCCACTGTGGTCGGCACTGGGAACCTTACATGGAGGTAATTTAGCCCTGAGATCATTTAAACAGAAACTTAAATAACAGGAAATTATAAACTAAGGAACTTTAAATAGAGGTCCACTAGAGTTCACACACAGGAATAAATGGCACATTATCAGTGTCTTTTCTATTTTACTTTTTGCGCAAATTATACAGAACTGGTAAAATCAAGTTCTGATATAAAACGGATGAGCAAGGTAAAAAAACCAACGTGTACCTGTTGCGATATTTCATCATCTTCCTGTGACCAACAGTCCCCAGTCTCTTCATCAGGATTGCCATATACACTGAAGGCACAAACAGATGCACTCTCTGCCTGAGCAGCACCCTCAGCTGCCAAATTCTCTTCTGACTTGGTGTGGCGAAGAGGGTTCATGATCTTAGTTGGTACTGGTGATGTATAAATGTCCTCCACCTCCAAGACCTCTACACAGATTATGTAGGGAGCCTAGCAAAAGTCGAGAGATTAAGCCTTAATATTAGATTCCTTCCCCCACTAGCTTCCAGCAGTGTAGATAAATCTTGCAGTAAACATGAATGATATAGATTACAAGTAAAGAACAAATCATTAAGTACATCTACCAGTTGCCCTCGTCTAATACATATATAAATATAACTGTTTGTCAACTGTTGTCAATTTTCTTACCATGAATCTGGAAGAGATTATCCAAAGATATTTTGAAATTTACTCTACTCCTGCCAATATTAATAGTAGTCACAGCTATTGACATGTGTGAATCCTCATTCCTAACCATATTTTTAGACACATGAGTAAATGTAAACTTCTTAATGTGAGTGTTATTTATCTAAAGTTTCAGCTATTATCTACTGTAACAGTGACACAGGAAGCAAACATATCCTGAGTAAAGAATGAGTACTTCCACTTATTAGGACATAAAAGTTAATTAGTTTTCATGACCTTTCAGTGCAGTAAGTAAAACCTGTTTCCCTATGTGTAAAATATGAACAGTACAAAGAACGTTCATTCTGTTGTGTATCCATCAATAATAAGGTAAAACTTCTGTCCAAGTTAAACATGAGATCTGAATATTTTAAGACATTTCACTATATTTTTAGCTCCTCTCTTTGACTTCCTATAGACTTAAACATCTCATCCATGACTAAGTTTAATCTGAGCAGTCTCATTACAGCCTCATTTGAGACTGGTCTCCTCTGATTATGGAAACTTCTCAGTCCTATGGAAATAGATAGTATGACTCCATACATGGGGATTGTTTTGAGGGAAATAAAACTGACATATTAGATTTCTCTATGATCATCATAAGTATGAGAAATAATTTCTACAGTCAAGGGAAAACTATTTACTCAAAGTGCAATCTGAGAGAGAAATAATTTGTCTTCTTATGGTTTGTCAGCATCCAACCTAAGTCACACGTGGAAAAGTGGACAAAGAACCTGTAAAGGAATTGAACTAGCATATGTGAGTGTATAAGTTAATTATTTCTAAAACTGTGGACTTACAGAAAAAGTGAACTGGATATATAATATCTGCTTCATTTATTTCTACAACTTTTGTTCATATTCCAATTCATACTTGGCAAGTTAAGAGCAACTTAAGCTTAAGATGTGCACAGAAACACACACCAAGTCTTCACTGAAAGTAGTGAATTTTAGGAATACTCTCCAACATAAAATGTTATGAAAATGCTTTGAACAGTTCTTTGGTTGTTATATGTGGACAGACACACGCACACTTTTGCAGCTTTTCATTCTGAATATGAAAAAAAAAATGCATTAAATATAGAAATAATTATCCATATGAATATAAAGTTATCCAAAATGCAGGCCACTGTGATGACATTTTATTAGGGACTACCGTGTTTGAAAAGAATAATGGAACACAAAAAGAGGTACAGTCTGTTACTAATCGACTAATTCACATAATTCACAGCATGAAGGACCTCAACTCAGGCACATTCAAGGTCTGTGTTATCACCCTTCAAATTTCATGGTACAAGCAGTCTCTGAATTAGGGTATCATCCACTGAATTAAATGTGTATATGGGACAAATCTGGTCAATTACTATTTGCATCATATAGAACAGAATCTTCCTGTCACTGTTATTAGGAACTGGAACATCACCGATGCAATAAAAAGTGTTGCAGAAATTTTGAATTCCATTCAAGTAGCTGTTAATGTTTTGTCAAAGAAGGCTTTATCAGATTATATGTCAATAAGAAAAAGAAAAGACCAGGACAACAAGTCACTGGATAGACCCTGAGAGACAAAAGACTTTCCCAGTACATTTCAAACTGTTTCAGTTGGGGCTATCTGAGCTCTCCACAGAAGATTATATTGATAAAATATGCTCCTCCTGACTATGAATGAGTGGTAGGAAGAGAGAGAGATGGATACGAAGAACCACCTATTTCATTCACATCCAACATGGGAAAACGCCCTTATCAGTTCCATAGCAAGAGGTATAGATGTGGCTGACAATGCTGTGTAAGTTATGGACACAATGTGAGTACAATTCCTAGATATACAAATACCCCTTTTAAACAAAGAAAAACTGACTTACATCTTCATAAACAAAGATAAAAGATGATTTGTGATATGAAGCTGTGATCGTCAAATCTGAGTTTGTGACTTAAGTTGGATAAGTATATGAAATAAAAAACAATATTTCTCCCATCTTCAGAACTAGTATTTAACGTTTATCACCAGTCTAGTACAATGATGGCACCACTAGTTATCATCTCCAATGCTTAGCAGTAATCCAAAGCTAAAACTAACACAATCAGAATTTAATTTAATTTAATTCAAGATCAGTATTTTTTTTCTAAACACTCTGAACTGTGTGTGTTGTATAAAATAGCTGAGATTTACCTTATCTTTTGAATTGAGTACAGCACATACTTGTGGAGGTATTCTCACAATATGATGTGGGATTTCACTGTGTACAGGCAACCACACTCTGGCAGGAAGATTGAGGTTCAATGTGTGAAGTTCAGAAATAAGTCGTACTGTTTTTGCTTCCTTTGTTGGAAGTGAACTTAGGAGCTTACCAATGGATATAAGAGCCTTAATAAATTCCAACTCTGGAGCCAAACGTGGAGCCTAAATTAAGAAAATAGGCGCATTAGTAACAATCAGTATAAAGCAGACATGTATAAGTCCAAAATTTTCTGCATCAAACTGAGAAAAATCTCAATTCAAATGATGATGTTTCAGTCCTAGACTTCAAGAATTTCTAGAACACTGATTTTGCTTTTCTCAGTATCGCCTGAACTACACAATCCATTAGAACTTCACTAGCACGAAACACCAGCAGGAATCAAACTGTTTGACAAAATCTCTCCTTCTTTCTGCCCATGATGAAAAGGAGACGGCTCTAGAGTTGATTTTCTATAGAACAATGATTTATGAAAAGTTTTCATTGAAAAGTATATATGATATTACAAGGAATAAGTACACTGAGAAAAAGTGCTGTTCTAAACTGTGATTACAGTAAAAGAAGAACTAGTCTAGTAGAGAGAGTTCTCATTCTTAACTTATTTCCAAATTTTCATATCAAACTGAGCAAGTCATTCTTGCACATGACTGGTATAAATATAAAATTCTTATCATGTCTTTAATTATCACATTTCACAAGTTGACTATCCATGGAACATTCAAGTCAGTAATTAAATACATGTAAAAGCTTAAATTACACCCTTGCTGAGTTCTACAGTCACAAAAATGGTAAACAGATGAAAGAAGGCATCTACAGAGATGCTGCGAGAGAGCAGAAGGTGAATCGGTTTGAAACCTTTTCACTGGTGGCTCGAGTGCTTCACACCATAAAGCTACAATACTGCTGAATGACAAAACAGTACATCATGTAAGCAGCGAAAAGATGCCGGTTTTGGGACTAGAAAAACCCACTTCAACCTTCCCTGATACTAGAAAACTATCAGTATATATCTCTGATAAGGGTTTCTTGTCTGAGACCTCCTTGGGGTAAGACTAGCAAACTGTGACTTGTCTGACATTAAAGTCTCACAGCTGCTATTCATGCTATAAATACAACTTCAATTACAATTAAGCAGAAACATTCATAGTTTAATTAACCAATGGTTTAACAGCAACATGTTTCTTTAAAATTTAACTTTTACAACTAGCTGTATCCAACTGTCCACGTCTTCATTCCTTACTCATTCTCGATTTGGTTAAGTGTTCCTTCCTTTATATAACACCATGCCTGCAAATCTGGTTTCTTTTTATTTTACTATATATATGAATATGGTGTCTCCACCTTATCGTGGTGAGGGGGTTTGAGTACACCAAGGACCCCGAGAGCTATACCAGTGGTAGCGTAGCTACTGGCAGGGCCTCCCTTGCTGGACAGGTCAAAGGGTAGGCATCAGACGAAGAGAGACACCAAAAACCAAAAACTGATGCCGGAAGCAGCGTCATCAGCAGCGACTTGAAGCACAGAGCAAATGATGCTCGAGATGGTTCAAGTTCGTATAGCAACAGGCGTGACCAGA